GACCGTTCTTGCAATAAATGATAAATTTTAGAAGTGATACCTTTACCCAAGGGTGATCTTGAGAGCAGGACTTCCATAGGGCTGCCCACAGGACAACTCAAAAGGCCACTTTGATAATGAACTATGCATTTGGACATATCTCCAGAATTGATTATGCTGCAACTTGTATAACTCCACAACTTTATCAAAGCTTAAAAAAACATTTGGTCCCCCAGTCAAACAAATCTGATACATAAAGGATGCCTGCCTTACGCCACTGTAACCAGTCAACCGATGTCCCTCCAATTAAAATTCTTTTATTCCCCCATAGGGTTGCCGAAGGAGATTTAATAAAGTCCCAGCGACCCGCCCTATGTAATTTACACAACAATGTCTTCGCATTTGCAATTATAGGATGGGTAAGAAATAAGAAATAAATAAATAGAACAGCTTGTAAAATGTACAAGGATAGAATTGTAAGAAGCCAACTTGTGTGAGAGACAATCTAGGGGTACAATCTTACAATGTAGGGGTAGGGGCTGATGGGGAATGGTAATGAACAGAGTTCAGCCTTCTGACAACCTGGTGAATGAAGCTGTTCAACAGTCCAGTGGAGCGAGCCCGAACACTCCTGTACATCCTCTCCGAAGGCTGAAGAGGGAGTGTGAAGGGTGTATACTGATCATGTCTGAGTTAAGAAAAATAAATACATAAAATAATAAAATCGCTTAAAAATAAAATTGTTTAACCCCCCCCCCCCCCCCCCCCCAAAGATAAAGATAACATACATTGAGAAAAGAGGAGAAAACAAAATACATTAAAAAAAATTAGAACACCACTGGTTTAAAATACAAAGAAATGTTTTTCAAACTGTTTTAAAGATATCTAATGTTGACGACCTCCTGATGTGAAGAGGCATTTTGTGCCCTAATTCAGAAGCAACCGCTTCTACAAACCCATCTCCTCTTTTAATCTGGATCTTGGGAGACAGCCAGGAGCATTTTCTCAGCAGACCTTAGTGATCTAGTGAGAGTGTGTAAGTACAACAATGAGTGTCCACAGCAAAATTGCTGGAAATACAAATACCATCAGATTTCGATTCACTGCACCCTGCGATACCATCAGCAAAGCATCTGATTGGCAATTCCTTCATTTTTCAGAATGACATTGATCCCAAACACACTACCAGCGCAGTAAAAGCATATCTGGCTCCAACACCATTGTGAAGTTTGCTGACGACACAGTGGTGTTGGGCGCCATCTCCAACAACGATGAGACGGCCTACATGGATGAAGTGAAGAATCTGGCATCGTGGTGCCAGGACAACCACCTCCAGCTGAACGTCGGCAAGACCAAGGAGCTGGTGGTGGACTTCAGAAGGGGTCAGCACAGAGACTACAAGCCTATTATCATCAATGGAGCTCCAGTGGAGAGGGTGCAGTCCTTCAAGTATCTTGGTGTCCACATCTTCTCAGACCTGACATGGGCTGCCCACATTCAGGTCCAGACCAAAAAGGCTAGGCAGCGCCTGTACCACCTACGACAACTGAGGAAGTTCAGGGTCTCTCCAAAGATCCTCAGGATTTTCTATACATCCGCTGTGGAGAGCATCCTCACACAGAACATGACATCGTGGTTCTATCCCCAAGCCATCCGTGCCCTAAACACACACACCCACCCCCTCTCACATCATCTATAATTGACTGAGACAGGACTCTGTTCCAGACACTAAACCAAGGAACAATGTACATTTCAAATTCTTTTAATTTTAAATATGTTTATATTGTCTATTCTGTAAAATAGTCAGATGTCTATTCATATTAATGTACAGAATTCACCTGCTTGCTGCTACTACTGCACATTCACCCAATGTGTGTGTGTGTATATATATATAATGTTCTTCCTCTACCCCCCCATTTTTGCACATGTCGAGGAGCGTGTCAGGCTACATTTCACTGTGTGTTATACTTGTATAACTATGCATGTGACAAATAAAGAACCTTGAACCTCTGGATAAATTAACACACTTATCACACATGGAACTCAAATCCAATTTGGGATCACCCAGACAGAGAATAGAACAAAAGCAAACATCCAAAGAAGAGCTTTGAATGTCCTTAGTAGCCTGGAGAACTATTCCTGAAGACTTTACAGAAATTACAAGAAAGTTGCCTAAGAGAGCTCAGATTGCACACTTGTATAAACTCTGTTTTCCCCATCTCTACTGTAAATAGCTGCATTTGTTTCCCATTTTCCGTGGTGTTAACAATGGTGCCGAACCCCAGCCTCCATGTTGGACTCCGAGCCTGCACAACCAGTACAGCTGCTCCAGCTGTTAGTCCGAATATTGGTGAATATCGTGGTCATGCACCATGAAGAGGTGGCGGTGTACAAAGTACAGCTGGACAGGCTGCAGAAGCGACAGACCGAGGTGCTGGAAAGGCACTGGCGGTGTTGATGCATTGGGGAGGGCGACGACCCTCAGTCATTTCTGGAAACCTTCCGGGCCACAGCAGAGGCATGCCAGTGGCCTGCCGCGGAATGGACACCGTGGTTGCTGCCAATGCTGTCGGGAGAGGCTCAGACGGCGCCTTTGAGCCTGTCATCTGCTTTACAGGGCAGTTTTGAGTATATCAGCCATGCGGGGCTCGATTACTTGGACCTCTCCCCGGAGGATCACTTCTGGCGCTTCTGGGTTTGTCAGCTGGTGGGGGAGGATCGGTTATTTGTGTGGGCCTATTAGCTCCACGATGCAGGGGCTATATGGCTGCAGCCCGGACCATTGGAGGGGAAGGCATGCATACTGGCAAAGGTGGTCTTGGAGCAGTTTGTGGATGGTCTGCCAGGGAAACAGCGGTCTGATGTCTACCATGCACTGGGGCACCAGTCCAGGCAAAAGATGGCCTTCTGTTCAGCTTGTTTGGAGCCCCTGACACTTTCTAGCATCAAATGGACCAGGTAGGGGGGCACACAGTGCACAGGCTGCCACCTTCCTGGATGATGTTATCATTCACAGTAACACCTGTGTGGAGCATGTGCAGAAGGTGGGCGTGGTTCTGGAGTCTCTGATCAAGGCAGGGCTCACAGCCAACAGTATCTGGGGTACCATACCACTTGGGGGGTGGGCAGGTGCATCCACAGGCAGAGAAGACAGCCGCCATTGCATCTGGCCTGTGCCCCAAGACCAAAAAGGAGGTGAGGAGGTTCCTGGGGCTGGTTGGGTATTGTCGCCGGTTTGTGCCTGGGTTTGCGGACCTGACCAGCCCCTCATCTCACGGGGGCTGGTCAGATCTTGTCTAGTGGACGAAGCGGTGCCAGGTGGTGTCTTGCAGATGGACGCCTCAAACGGAGAGCTAGAGCCAATTTGTCCCAGCAGGTAAGGGGGGTTGACTGCCGTAGGTGCAGCCGGATATGGCCCTGACCTCAGTCTGGCAGTGGGTGTGCGTGATGTAGGGCTGTGAATAAATGACTGAACAGTGACTGAATGCTGTGGGTCCGTGGTGTTCACACCAATCAAAAAAAAAAAAAAGGAAAAAAAATGTATAGTTCAAGAATTTTTCAGTAGTACAGGATATGTGACAGCATGGGATGAGCTGGCCAAACACATGGACTCAGCTGGAATTAACTGAGCTCCAGAGGGGCACTCATTCTCTCATGAATGTTTCCAGAAGCAGTTTGCTTGGCTAAGTGCTCAATTTTAAACGCCTGGAAGTGATTGGAGGTGTCCCAAATTCATTGATTTGGAAGGATAAAAAGAATACTTTTAGCAATACAGAATATCTTATAATAGTCAGGGCTATGAACTGCAATGTGACTGGTTGGCAATCACAAATAGGTCCATAGGAGCAGATCATATGACCAAGCATCAGTCTTTTACAATTTGAAGGAGTGGTAAAACATTCCAGCAAAGTTCAAACTGATGATAATAAAAATGTAAACTCATAAATGCTGCTAAAGTTCAAACTGCACCCTGTTCTGTAGTCTAAATGAAACAACCTGTCTGACAGCTTCTTTCTTATTAAAATATCGAGTGTTGCTGAGAGGAGAAATGGAGCAGAAAGGAGTTCAGCTGGATTCAGAGAAATTCTCTTGTTCCATCTGTTTGGATCTACTGAAGGATCCAGTGACTATTCTGTGGACACAGCTACTGCATGAACTGTATTAAAACACACTTTGATGAACAGGACATGAAGGGAATCCACAGCTGCCCTCAGTGCATGGGGCAATTCACAACGAGGCCTGTACTGGTCAAGAGTACCATGTTAGCAGACTTACTGGAGGAGCTGAAGAAAACTGGACTTTTTTTTACAACCTGCAAATGTTGGAAGGTGCCCCAATCATTAATTTTAAATATATCTATAAAGGATGGAGCACCACAGGGCAACTGAACAAAATTTTCTTATCAGATCACATAAATCTGTCTCAGGAACAAGTAAAATGACTAAATCCAGCTATAAAATGTTGAATTAAAATACTAACTTTGATTTCAATAATTTTTTATTTCAAGTAATTTCATGTTGGTTCAAAGACATTTTTGATGCACAGCCCGACAGTCCTCTCTGCATTCTGTGCTATAGCACCTGGATGCATCATTACTTATACAGGTTAGACACCTGTGAATAAACCTCAAACATTTAAACTTTTCTGTCCTGATGAAGTCAGAAGGTGCCAAAGTCTCCCTGAATATCCTTTAAAGATTCGGGTTTGCCCTTTTGGATATTAACATAGTGAGAGATTTTGATAGGTTTCAGTGACCATGTTTGATCAATTTTTTAAAGTTTTAACTTTGACAAAAACTTCAGGAAGGTCATTCATCTGATTTTTAAATTACCTAAAGCAGACATCTTGATGATCGGTAATGTTTGAAATGAGGTTACTGCCAGGTTTATCCTCTGTCACCACTTGTGATCACATTACTGACTGAACTGCCTCTTCTGTTACTGGAATAGTTCAAAGTCCCTCCCTCTTCTGCGTAAAAGAAGAAAGAGAAACTCACACAGTCACTGACACTGAGAGGAGAAATGGCACAGAAAGGAGTTCAGCTGGACCGAGAAACCTTCTCTTGTTCCATCTGTTTGGATCTACTGAAGGATCCGGTGACTATTCCCTGTGGACACAGCTACTGCAGGAACTGTATTAAAGGTTTCTGGGATGAAGAGGACAGGAAGGGAATCCACAGCTGCCCTCAGTGTAGGAAGATTTTCACACCGAGGCCTGTCCTGGAGAAAAACACCATGTTAGCAGCTTTAGTGGAGCAGCTGAAGAAGACTGGACTCCAAGCTGCTCCAGCTGATCACTGCTATGCTGGACCTGAAGATGTGGCCTGTGATGTCTGCACTGGGAGGAAGCTGAAAGCCATCAAGTCCTGTTTAGTCTGTCTGGCCTCTTACTGTGAGAAACACCTCCAACCTCACTATGATGCAGCTCCATCAAAGAAACACAAACTTGTTGACCCTTACAGAAAGACCCAGGACAACATCTGCTCTCGTCATGATGAGGTGATGAAGATTTTCTGTCGTACTGATCAGCAGAGTATCTGTTATCTCTGCTTGATGGATGAACATAAAGGCCATGAAACAGTCCCAGCTGCAGCAGAAAGGACTGAGAAGCAGAAGGAGCTCGAGGTGAGACGACTAAACATCCAGCAGAGAATCCAGGAGCGAGAGAAAGATGTGAAGCTGCTTCAACAGGAGGTGGAGGCCATCAATGGCTCTGCTGATAAAGCAGTGGAGGACAGTGAGAAGATGTTCACTGAGCTGATCCGTCTCCTCCAGAAAAGAAGCTCTGATGTGAAGCAGCAGGTCAGATCCCAGCAGGAAACTGAAGTGAGTCGAGTCAAAGAGCTTCAGGAGAAGCTGGAGCAGGAGATCGCTGAGCTGAAGAGGAAAGACAGCGAGCTGGAGCACCTCTCACACACAGAGGATCACAACCAGTTTCTACACAACTACCCCTCACTGTCAGCACTCAGTGAGTCTACACACTCATCCAGCATCAATATTCGTCCTCTGAGCTACTTTGAGGATGTGAAAGCAGCTGTGTCAGAGACCAGAGATAAACTACAGGACATTCTGAGAGAGGAATGGACAAACATCTCACTGACAGTCACTGAAGTGGATGTTTTACTGTCACCAGCAGAGCCAAAGACCAGAGCTGGATTCTTAAAATGTTCACGTGAAATCACACTGGATCCAAACACAGCAAATATGCATCTGGTATTATCTGAGGGGAACAGAAAAGCAACAGTAAAAAGACAAAAGCAGTCCTATTCTAATCACCCAGACAGATTCACTTTCTATTATCAGGTAATGAGTAAAGAGAGTTTGACTGGGCGTTGTTACTGGGAGGTGGAGTGGACAGGGAGAGGAGTTTGTGTAGCAGTGGCATACAAGGATATTGGGAGAGCATGGTACTCAGATGAATGTGTTTATGGAGGAAATGACAAATCTTGGGCATTACGTTGTGACACACATAGCTATGGTTTTCACTTCAAGAATCTCTCAACTCCTGTCTCAGGTCCTCGGTCCTCCAGAGTAGGAGTGTACCTGGATCACAGAGCAGGTATTCTGTCTTTCTACAGCGTCTCTGAAACCATGACTCTCCTCCACAGAGTCCAGACCACATTCACTCAGCCGCTCTATGCTGGACTTTGCCTTTTAGACTACAAAGTCACTGCAGATTTTATTAAACTGCAATAAACAAAAGTCATTGAGGGACAATTGGTTAAAATGTGTGATTTAGTTTCCAGTTTCTTCGGTCTCCATTGTTGTTGCTGTGAACTCTGTGTCGTGCTACTTCTCTGCACAGAGATCATCTGTCAGTCACACTTCATGTGCGCTACTTTGATGTCTTATCATGTTTCATTTAGATAATGATTGACTTTGTCTGGATGGCTCTACTTCCGGTGTCTCTAACCATTAAGACTCTCAAAGCTCATGGTGCAGGGCTCTAGACTAACTTTTTGCCATGGGCGTACCAGTACGCCTAACTTTAAAAAGTTAGGCGTACCGGCACAAAAGTTAGGCGCACACAAATTTTATAATAATTTATATAATATAATGTGTTTTTCTGGATACACTGTGCTTTTTCAGCATTCAAAGATTGATGACACCGTGTCAGAGCACAGGCTATGAATTTCAGAAGGATCAGGCCTTAACTTAACAGAAAAGTTAGCAATAGTTCTTTTCCTATTACAGCTACATCCACTTCTGTCGTGCCTGGGCTGCTCACTAGGGCTGGGTATCATCACTGATACTGAAACAACGGTAGACTGGTGGGTAATAAGCGAATGAATAATACAGAAAACAGAGATTGGAGACGGGAAACTGTTCTTGAAGTACAGAGAGAGCTAGCTGTGCATGAAGTCTGATTTTTAATAGTCGTGGAAGCAAAACAGCAAATTTCATGACGACATTGATCAAATGTGAAGCGCAGTTTGCTGCTTCTTTTGCTGCTGGCTCGGTGAATTTTGGTTGGAGAGAGACAAAACCTGCAGCTCAGAATCAGCGCAAAAAGACGTAATCACAGCGCGGACCAGACGCATCAGAACCGCTAAGCTCCGACAGCGTGTCCGTCTACGGGCCGTCGGGTGAGAAAGCCGAGAAAGACAAAGTTGATTCTGATGCGTCGGTCCGTTCTGTGTTTACGTCTTTGTGTGGAGTCCGTGTACCTGCTCTCATCTGCTGTTTGGTTGTTGTCGAAATGGTTTTGTGAGCTTTAATCTGAGAATCTGGCGTTTCTGGCAAAACACAGTTATATTTAAAAGTCGTTTCAGGATTTAATGAATTGATATTGCTTTATTCAAGCTACTCACCTCCCACTTCCACCTGCACTTTCAACTGGACCACGGCCAATCAGAGAGGTCCCGCCCCTGACTATCTCTGATTGGTTTAGTCCATGATAGGGGCAAAATGTGTGTCTGTTGTTGACCACAGGGAAGGTTGCAGATTTTTTTTTTTTTTTTTGCCACCCGAACAGTTGGTCGCACAGGTGCAAGCAATTTTTTTTTTTTAGTCGCACCACTGAAAAATTTGGTCGCATTTGCGACCAAATTGGTCGCACTCTAGAGCCCTGTGGTGAGTTTTTTTCAGCAATACTGAATGAAACCACATACATATGTGAACTTCTCTCTTCTCCAAATGTTTCAGGAATATTTTGGCTAATGTATATTTTTTAAATTCAATTCAATTTATTCATGGACCGTAATAGAAAAACCAGCAGATTCATTAATTCATTGCACAGAATTTGTTCTCATTTTGTAAAACAAAAAAAAAAAACATTTAGAATTACATTCACATTTATTTTTAGATTTTGTTGTTCACTGTGATCGTCTCTCGTCATTACTTGATTATTCTCAGCTCAGTCATACACACTGATTGTGTGAATGTTGAAGTCTTGAAGTGACTGTTCTGATTTGGTGTTATATAAATAAAAACTGTTTTGACTTTAAACCAAATTGAATGACGTGAATCTAAAAGTTTACTCCATGTAAACATCACATGATGTCAGAGTGAACCATAGGATACAGACGACTTCATGTTAAAGGATGATTCTGCTTTATTTTAGCCTGCTGTATTTCCCATCATGTGTCTGTTGTGATTTAATGAGTCATGAACTTCATCCTCCACCTGTGCTGTGCAGTTACATAAAACAATGAAAGGCCAAGAAATAATAATCATTTTTAATATGAATCATTTTAATGAATTTATTATGACTGAAAACACACACAAATAAAAGGGTTTAAAATGAGGTGTATGAGCCTAAAATATGGAGATGATATGTGTCAGGCACTTTATTCATTGCATTCTGTGTATTTTTATGCATTAGTTTTTTACTAACACTTACCACCCGCAGGGGGTTTACAGGACTTTTTAAATAGAGTGAGGAGGACCCGCAGGGCATCACAATATTTGATTAGTAAAGACAGACGTATTACAATGTGTTACATTGTTGCACAACAGAAATTTCCATTAAATTATTGTTTTGCAAAATAAGTTCACACATAGATCTTAACTATGATTAGTTGTGCTGAATAAATCTTACTCAAGTATGTATACTAAGGTTTTAGGATCAAAATATAAAGTACTCATTAGATTACAGTAACTGATCATCAGCAAGTATGATCACCTCTATAAAAGCAGAAGCTTCGGCAGTGTGCTGCTCACAAACATTCGTGTTTGTGCTGAATGAAAGCACAATGCCACAATCTTCCCAGCAGTGAATGTTTCAGTAAATTCACAGCAATGTCAGACCATCCAAAAAACAGAGAGCTACATCTCTGACTCTACAGGCCTCAGTTAGCATGTTAAATCTCTGAGTTGCCAAGTGGCAGCCAAGAAACCTGAAGTATTTAGAGCATTTCTGTAAAGAGGAGTACAAACATCTTACTGCTGAACTTGCCAACAAGGGTTTCGCCACCAAGTAGGAAGTCCTGTTTTGCATGTTCTCAAACACTTGTTTCACTCAGTGACATGAAAATTAATTTATAACTTTTATGTTGTGGTTGTTATGCTGCCTCTCTCCATTAAAATTACAGACTGTTCATGTCTTTGCACTTCAGTAAAGTACTAGAGTAAATGTTTGTGCTACAAATTAATTGTATCCTAATCCTCGCTATATATTGAAAGGTAAAAAAAAAAAAGCATTATCAACCTTGTGTCAGTCACAAACTGTGGTCTGGTAATAATAAAATCAAATTTCAGATTTCAAAGCCATAACAAATAACCGTCTGCTTTTCATTCAAACTTGTTCCTCTGTTGGTCTCTAAACAGAATGAGCAGCATAGCAGAGAAATGATGTGCGACAGGGAAGAAGAGTGGGGTGGACTTTGAGGAGGGGTGCACATTATTGAGTGAACACTGGAGCACCATCTAAAAATTTTACTTTATCAAGATTTGTAACTTTATATTTTATTAAAGTGAATCTAATTTACTCTTTTTTTGTAGACATATGGTTCCTATGACTGTATATATACACATATACAGCTATAAATAAGCAAGAACATTTCCCTAAAAATGTAAATACCCCCCCAAACTCTAAAACACGTCCAGATTTACATTAGAGGATACTTACTGACTGACATATTGTTTTAGTCTTTGGTATCATTCTTGTGAATAAAACTTTCCAACAAATGAAAGAGAAAAATAAAGAAAGCCGCCTCTCGTCTCCTTAAGCTGAATTAAATCTCATGAACACGCTTCGTCTGAACAAACCTGACAGAAAATAGTAAGAGTGATAGTGATGCAGTCCACTTCCCAGTGTTCCCAGTCTGTGCTGCTCTACTGGTATTTTGCCAGCAGTATAACGAGGCTGAGGATGAGCCAAAGAACCAGGAGGTGAGAGGTCACCAGGAGAAAGGCCACTGGGTAAAGGTGCCGTCTGGGGGCTTTGGGGGCCAAACACTGTGGGAGTTCTGAGGGAGTCTCCCCTGGATCTAACCCAGAGACAGGGAACCCTGACTGGGTGTAACAGCCAAGCATCTGCCCCCAGGACAGACGAGATCTGGAGGATGAGCAGGGGTGTTTGTGTGCAAGTGTGAATGAAAGCCAGGGGGGGCAGAGAAGGAAGAGATGTGAAGAGAAAGAGAGGGAATTGATGGCATGAAGTAAAAGAACAAAGAGAGAAAAAGATTAAACTGAAAAAGTTTTGCAACATTTACAATAAGTGGAGAACAAAACGGGGAAACAGGAAAAACAAACGAGGCGAACAAACAGAAATAAAGGAAGGCAAGAGGAAGAGGATTGTTGTGTTTTTCAGGAGAAACAAAAACACACCTTCTCATCCAGTCCAGTGCGATGCTGAAGTGCTGCTGGCTGAGTGTGTGTCGCTCCCGCAGTAAGGCGCACTGCTCCAGCGTCACCGACATCGCAGTGCGGTCCTTCGCACTCTTACAGCTCGTCAGCCGCACACCGTTCACCTTACGACACACCTGCACGTGACAAAAACACTTTGTTCAAAGGCCCAAAGCAGAGAAAACACATTAATATTATGTGAAGTGTTGTAGCAGAGGTCCTAGTGTAAATGCCCCTTGAGTAAGTTCAACATTGACAGTCAGCTGAGCCCTTTCTGTGGGGCTTGGACGTTCTTCGCCTGTACAAGCATATTATTGCTTGTGAGGTTAATTAGTGTTTCTAAACTGGTTACATGGAGTAAAGGAGTCTCCATCGGGAGCACTGGGATATTTGCCGGTGGTTCCCACCAGGTGATCCCCACAGAGTCAGGTCTTAAAAATCTTACATGAGTAAGTCTGTTTCAGGTGCTTACCTTAGCAGCGATCCACAGAACCTCCACGTTCTTCCTCTTCTTGGCCTCAATGCTGCGTTCCAGAGAAGACAACAAGTCTGCCAGCGACTGGATACCAGCTGACAGAAGAAGAAGGAAGTTCAGTTCAGTCATTGTTTCACTGTTAGCGATCAGACAACCCTCTGTGAGCAAGCAATTAGCAAGAGTGGGAAGGAAAGCACCCTTTAACAGGAAGAAACCGCAGTAGTGATAAAAAAGCCTTACCCATGTCCGGCAGTCTGTCCCTCAGTGTGTTACAATAAGCTTTGAGACGCTCACAGCTCTGCTGGTTTATTCTCTCCTGCAACGAACAGTCACCAAACCTGAAAACAAACATCAGCTTCTGAGTATTTTTACCAAAAATGGAGAGAAATTTCGCAGCTTACAGGAAGCAACCTTCTATTTTTTGTTGTTGTGATATTATAATGTTTAATGTTCATAATAAAAGTTGGCTAAAGTTTCAAATAATGAGGGAAATGTCAAAAGCCAGGTATGAACAATAAATGTTGTTTTCAAAGCCTTTTCTCTACCTAAACCTGATCTCTACCTGCAGATTTTCTCACAAAATTCAACCACTACATCTTGAAACTCCTCTGGGTTCTTATTTGGGCTTTTAATTTGAAGCATTCCAGACGCCGGCCAATCAGAAAAGAGTGGACTTTTAAAAAGGTGTGCCTTAAAAGGGCTGCTTGTTTCAAATGGAGGATGAGCTAAGCGCCTACAGAGAAGGACAAAGTAACTAAAGCTAGTCGAATCCTAAAAGACGAATGTGCAGCTTGAGATGCAGCTTAAAGTCATCTGATTAATAATCTCTAATGAAGATTAAGCTGTCGATGAAGATGTGCACCAACAGCAGACACATTAATATTTTTTTCCTATAAGACCTCTACTTCCAGCAATTTTATTCAGAGGTAGAAAAATATATTGATGTTCACAAGAGTTTTAATTTTGCTCATTAAAGAGTGAAAAGCGGTTTGTTTACCTCTCAGCATAACTCTGATGCTGGTTGATTCCAATGTTAAACAGAACAGGATCGACTCGAATCAACAGTCCATCTTTCAGTTCCTGTGGAAGCGAGCTGAAGGTCTCCGGGGGCAACGGCACTTCAACAATAAAACTGCCCCTAGTTGGAGATGAACGCACAAAGTGAGGAAGCTGCACACTCACTGCGTGTATAGATGTGTGTGTGTGTGTATTCCCACCATGTTCCACTGAGTGTCGGCAGCAGGTCGTCTGGTTGTTCCGTTTTGGCCTCGGTGATGGTGAACGCTACTCTCTTTAGGTCAGCCACGCCCACTTCCATGTCTTCCAGCATCCCAATCTCATCACCTGACACACAAACACACCTTAAATGTGTAAGCACTGCATGTGTCACACTAAAATAAAGGACAGCAGCTTCCTTGAGAGTGGATGCCCCGTGATTACTAAAACTTTCACTTTCAGTGAAGGCCTGACACACACCTTACTGCAATCACTCTCAGACAGAGTGGCGAAGATTTCCAAATCACAGACAGACGGCCAACACACTGCCATCAGTCTCAGTCAGTCTGCACCAATAACTTATTTGTAACACATTTTGCAATAAGAAACTCGAATGAACTGGTTGACAACTCTTTGTTTTTTGGGTACTTTCCCAAATAAATCTGTGGAATTTTCCCAGATTAATCACAGTTAATCACTGTATCATCACAAACAGATTGTACGTACCATATTTTTCAGACTATAAGGCACACTTAAAATCCTTTAATTTTCTCAAAGATCGACAGTGCGCCTTATGTATGAATTTTGGTTGTGCTTACTGAGCTCGAACCGATTTTATGTGGTACGTGGCTTTATCGGAGCATTATGGCTACCATAGTCAGGAGCCTCGCGGAGAAATCTGGGTCCAAAACTCCGTCTGCTTCAGGTCCCAAAGTCAAACGAACACTGCAGCATCACTGAGAGTTAAAAATTATCTAAATTCTTTCATCTTTAATAAAATGATCAGCGTTGCTGCTTTAACAGGTGTAACAATTAAGTTTAACATTCAGAAGACAGAAAACTCAACAGCAGTGAGGTTTGTCGGGTTACTGAGGTTTGGCTAGCTGGAATATAATGATGTGCTACATGATTGCTAGCGACACAGCTATGTTAGCATAACATTAGCACAGTGAAGCTGGAGGATGAACGCTAACTTTTTCCCCTTAACCCTTAACGCGAGGGTTCCTGATGGTCAGGGACAAATGCAATCGCATGGCAGGATGCTGTAAATGGATCAAACTTCAGTCAGGAGAACAACTGAGATAATCCATCCACAATACGAGGTTAGTCATTAATATACTGCAACAACACGGGAATAGAGCAGCTGCCAGAGAATTCAACATTAATGAATCAATGGTAAGGAAGTGGAGGAAGCAAGAAGAATGAGTTGAATAAAGTTTGACTCATCTGACTGTTTTGTTTTGCTTAATTCACCTTATGGACCGAAAAATACATTAATTGCAGACTGATAGCCGAATAACTCCACAATTGCCATTTTAACACATCAATCACTCAATCATGAGACCTGGTCCCCATCTTTAAAGCAACCATGTCAAAGGCAAAAAGATCACAGGTTCTTCAAACATGGTAACAACAATTTGGTCTCACCAATGACTGTTTTCCATAGTGTGACTCTGTGTGACTAGTGTGTATTTACCGTGGGTGCTCAACAGGCTTTCAAATTGAGCCAATACTCCTACAGTGTGAAGTTGCCGTAGAAAGTCAGGATCCTCCAGGCCTCTGTAAAGCTTCAGCATGACACCACAAACTACTGCTGAGAGCTGGAAGACAAACACAGTTTCTTTAATACAGAAAACTACAAACTCCCACTAAAATTCCCCCCCCCAATAAAAAAAAAAACAGAACATGTTCCCTTTTAAATCTCTGTCATCCTCACCGCCTGGCTGAAGACGGCGTGACGTCTCTGGGCTATGTGTGCAGGGCCCTGAGCGACCGTCACATCCACTGCCTCCTGCAGCACCACAAAGGTCATTGCTACCTGGGCCTTCCCCACTGCCTCACGCACGCAGTCCCTAAGAGTGACCACCAGAGGGAGAAGGTGCTCTTGCCAGGTGCACCCAGAGAAGGAGGAGCAGGAGGAACGAGAGGCTGGAGGGAGAGCGTGAGAAAGTTTGGTGTTTTAATCAGAAATTTACTTTAAGAAAACAAAAAACAGGTATCTGAAAATGAGATATCTAAGAAGAAGAAGAACTAGCAAAACTAAGTTAACAGGAAATGCAGCACTGATGAGTGAGATGAAGTGATCTTTCAAACAGAAAGAAAACAGTGAAGCATTAAAAATTGTTATTCAAACGTGCTCTGTGCATGTATTAAACCCTGTTCACTGTCAAAGTCTGATCGGAATTTAAAAACGGAGGTATTCTCCGACTGTCTCAGCACACGGACTGATTTTGATTTAAAGGACTCGAGATGAAATAATCCCGAGGTTAAATTAACCATCACAAGATTCATGCACAGCCAAGATGCACATCGCTGAAAAACTGTATCGAGCTTATTAACGTTATTGCAAGCATAATCTCAGTGAGAACGCTGCCTGCCAGATTATCAGCTAGCATAATGCATGATATTAACACGTGCACAATGTCAGGTAATACTTCAAGACTTCCTCCTCCAGAGTAAATACACGTGGACACACAGCATACTGACAGCCAAGGTAACTATGGACTGAACAGCTGAATCTACTAAAACCTTTTGCAGAATAATCAATTGACAAATTTGTTTTTTTATCGCTAATTTAGTGCTAAATGTAGAATTTTTCAAATATATTAAAACATATAAAAATGATTTTATACACAAACAGGAGCAGAAACATGCACTTGTCTGAATAAGAACTCTGAGACGTGATTTACCGTCACCTGTGTTCTGAGAGTTCGTGTCCCCTTCCTGCGGCTCTGGTGACATCACCGTCTGCTCCTCTTGCTGCTGCAGTCGGTCGACCATGGCAACAATGCAGTTGATGCTCTTTCCGACATTCACCCACACCCTGTCCTACACAAAAACAAGCACATATAAAAACTGGAATCATACAACGCTGTCGGAAACACGCAGACATCACACACACTCCAACTTGCCCACTCCTCGTCGTCGTACTCCGTGTCGTGTCGGCCACCATCCTGCTCCTGATCGGCGGGACAGTTCTCACACAGCAGCCCGTTGCTGTGGACGTGGCTGCTGTTGGCGTTTGCGATGCACTGGTTATGGATCTCCAGCAGGGCGCATTTTACCAACTCCTCTTTGAGCGCGTGCACAAACTGCTCGGTCTGGTGGACGACAAAGTATGAGGAAACGTCAGATTTCTTGGTGTCCAAACGACTGCCGGTTAGCTGTATTCTTCTTATTCCTTCCTCACCTGTTCCGTCAGGCTGCCCAGGACCTGCCGCAGCCGGGCGGCATTCAGCTCCTGCGCGACGGAGAGCAGCTCCTCTGCGAGCCCGAAGACCAACGGCTGCAGCTGGGCCATCCTTGTCAGCAGCTCCTTGGCTCTAGAGCTCTCCTCCTGGGAGTAAGAGACACAGCTGGAGAGGAAAGAAAGGAGGACGAGGAAAACTTTACCAACAAGCTAAACTGAAAGAGACTGAAGAGTCCAACAAGTCCACCTGTGTAGATTACACACTGTTGTATCTGTTATACAACAGATAACAACATGAAATTGTATTGAATCCTTGACTGCAACATTTTGGCTTTTTAAAACCAGATGTGAAGGACATGGGTTACATCCAAGACTACTGCGCGCTCGTAATCTAGCAGCTTTAGCCTGGGCGGTCGATTTAACTCTAGGTGGGGCCATTATTTCCAAACGAAACATGTTGTAATCAGAAAGATGATTGATGCTATAAACTCATCACAGAGTTTACTGGGGTCAAAGTGAGAAGTAGGATTATTTCTGCCTGAAAACGTGCTCAGCCGACGAGCACCGTGATGTCCCCCTGTGGTCAGGACATTTCTGTTCTTAAACCTCAAGCTGAGCATTTAGAGTTAAAGTTCACCTTTAAGTATTTATCCTTCATGACAAGCTTGTTGGACACAACAGTGACTGATATTAAACCTCAATGCAGAAAAAACAGCAAATTTGATTTGATTGGTTTGCACAGTCTCCAGTTTTCACATGTGGACACACAAATCTGTTTTTATCTCTGAGATGCCTCTTTATGCAATACAGTGATGCCTCACAGTAACGCAGATCACTTTTCGGTGATTTTTTTTGTGTTTGTGTGCAATTTTGCTTTTTTTGGGGGTTTTTTGTTAGCACATTATGTTCTGCGTCCTGATTGGCTCTAGACCATTGTCAATCAATCTCATGTTGTGTCTCCTGCAGAGTACAGAAAGTGTTCACTTTGTCAAATTTATCGAAATCTTTGCTCGCTAGCAGTGTGACTCTGAAGTGCTGTACTGTATGTTTGTAAGTTTTCTCCCCAACAAACACAACAATGTCCACAAACCTTTGCAGCGTCAAAGACACCTGCAGGTTCCTTAAGTTCATAATACTGGACGTATTTTTCTACAAAGGTTTGAACTTTGAGAGAGTTTAAACAAGAGAGAAGAGTGTGAAAATGTTCGAGCCTGTCTGAGAAAAGTGTATAACGGGTGTAGTGAGGGGTTTTACAGCCTTAAAACATCTATAATAACTGTAAAAAATAAAGGTGGCTACTGCGCAGACTTCACCTACCGCTGGTTATTTTTGGAACGCAACTCGTGATAAACGAGGGGCCGCTGAATAACACTGACTAACACGTTCTTATATTTGATCTCTCTACAGCAATGGACAAAAGTTTTGTTAGTGGCACAAATTTGGTGTTTGACACACTAAATCACATTAAGATCTGGGGATGAATCCAAAATGTTAATCCGATGATCTCTGTGTCACTTGGTTGGACCTTCTGCCTCGTTACAATCTTACATTGTGCTGGAAAATCGCTCGTAGAAGTTTTTAGTGTCACACAGTGTGATTTACTTAATGCAGGAACGATCGTCACCAATTATTTGCGATAAATTGTCACCAATTTGTGGCAATGAGAAAACTTTTTATTCATGAGTTCATGTTTATAGATATTAACTTGTGTTCAGCTCAATTTAATTTACAGCGAGCGCTTACAATCTCTTTAACTCTAAACGTACATCACTGCCATTCATCCCTCTGCTGTGTGCAGACTGAGATAATTCCATAAAAATTAAAGCATCAGTGCGCCGACTCCACGATGCAGCAACGCTAATCCCGACAGAGTCGAGATTATAGAGATTAACCGACAGCAGCCAACAATATTATGTTTGAGTGTGACGCTGTTGGAGGAAGGAGGAGGAAGAGAAAATAAAGGGTGGAGACGTTACCTTTCCCTGAGGTTTGTATGTTTCCTGAGGAGTTTCTTCAGCCCTCCGTGTTTAAAGGCCTGGTGATGATCGGCCGGAGCACCAAAGGTTATAACGTCATACCAAACACCTGAGGACAGAGATGAGTGAGTGAGAGAGCTTTGTAGCGTCTAAAGCACAGAGAGAGAGAGAAAGGTGAAGATGGGAAACAAAACACTTTATAATAACATCATCAGTGAATCATAATGTGGTGTTTACAGCTGCTACATGATACATGATAATGCCTACAAACTGGTAAACAATTCCAATTAAACCAGTTTAACCAGCCACATAAGGTTAATAGATGATGTTTAGGAATGTTTAAGTAAGCCGGTGGAGTGGCAGTAGTACCAGTCTGTGAACCTTTGTACCCCGTTTCATTTTTACTTTTGCTTTCACCTTTACTTTAGGAAAACCTGTGGTGTGAGTTACTATAAAACAGCCTCGACTGAGCGCTGTCTCGCTGTTCATACCACACACGCACCACAGGCCTGAAGAAGAAGGAAGCCGCAGACTGAGACAACAGCCGCGTTGACATAAAATGTTATTTTCTGCTTTTATTCACACAACCAACATAAAGGGGAATTACACCACTACTAATGATGGCAAACATTTTTTATTATTAACAGTAAAATAACTACTTGATAAAGTTTAAATCACAATTGTTTGCTTACATGTATGTCTGATGGTTATTGTAAAGTGTCGTCAAAAGTCGATAAAAAATACACAACAGAAATAAGAAGCAGTTAAAGAAAGTTCGGTTATGATTTAGAAACACTTAAATAATATTTAAATATTTGAGCATTTTTAATTTATGTCAACATAGCAAATACATCTTTTTATTCTTATTTATCAGCATCGACTGGGATGCAACAAAAACCTGCAGTAATTTACCTGCAAGCTGTTCACAAAACACATTGAAATTAGAGGGACACACTGGTAACTGCTGCAAACGGGAGCAGGAAAGCGTGCTGCGCTGTGAGACGCTTCATACCGTGCAAACAGGACACAGAATCAAAGATGGCTACCGCTGTCAGAAAGTCCTGTACGGTACTCTGCAGGGCAAATCTGCTACGTAACGCTAGAATGATACAGTTCTGCCACAGTTAACCACAGTCAGTGTGGAGCGGTTACCACCGAATACTGTTACGACTTGACTCGTAAGCCACAACTACAATTAGAGACTGATGCTACAGCTTTTAAACCAACAACAGTCTTATTGAAACCTCTAGATGTTCAGTTTTACAGGTAACGTGTATAGCTTAAGCTATGATTAGATACATTCATGGGGTGCACTTTGGTCCGAGTCTGTGCAGATGTCCACATGTTTTTGTAACCTGTGACCGCATCTGCAGAGAATTTAAATCACAATCCAAATATGTAGCTCCAACCTTTACACCAGGGGTGTCAAACACGAGGCCCGGGAGCCAGAATAGGCCTTGAAAAGACTTAAAGCTGGCCCACTGGATGACTTTGAAAATAAGCTAGCTTTTTTACTTTTAACTGCATTTTCATTGGTTTTACAGCTTTTTCTATTGATAAGGGACCGCACCCCTGGGGTAGTATGAATTCATACCACACACTACAGCAGAGTAATTAAGTAATCGATAAACAAGGAAATGACAGTAAAGTTCCTGTTTTTTTATTATTTACCACAGAAATGTCTTTTTTTTATTCTTAATATTGAGTCAACAGGGGGAAAACAACCTTTTCTGTGAATTAATTTAAATTCTTTAATTAAAGGACAATCTGGATGAGCCGCTATCAGAACATTTTCTGTAACTTTAAATATTTCTCATGTAGTTTCAGCGAGCTGTATGAGCCCATGATTTAAAATGAGTTCGACTTCCCTGCATTAAACAGTCTCTGTGAGGCCAGCGGTGGTTTCAGACACCAAATCACACGTTAGCTTTGAAATGCTCATCTCTAAGAAGCAGGAGGCTCCCGGGTGTACCTGTGCTGTCGGGACTGGTGACCTCCATCCTCTGCGTGTGTAGGTTGGTCGGAACAAACTGAAGGTGTCTGTCTGACTTACTGGTGCTCGACTTAAAACAGGATGAAGCTGCGGATATATCAGGATATATCAGTTCTGTGTACTTCCAGATAGTATCTGTGGAAAAAGCTAAAATCCGCGTGAAGATCACGTGACCTCACCTGAGACTTTTTCGAGCTCAGCGAGCAGTTCCTGATAGCAGCCGGTCACGTGGTTACAGTGGCTGACGACATCATGGCGAAGGCCATCCCAGTGGGGTGAAAGGTCACCGAGTTCCTTCACTTCCTGAATTCTAACAGGAAAAAAAAAACTTCAGGCTGAAAGAAACAAAGTTTTTTCTACTCTTGGATTTTTATGATGTCATAGGCAGGTGATATCCTTGACGATCTCACAGAAGCCCCGCCCAGCTGCTGTTGTCAGGGGCAGCTGAAAACAGTGGTTGTCTAACTTTTGTTGCGTGTAATAACATTACACCCACACGTATGTCCCTCCACACGTTTTCCCTGCTTGTTCATCTCGTATGTGCAGTTGCTCTGCGCCCTCTGGATAAAATGAGGGAGGTCCACAGAGGGAGGAGCTAAAACATCTTGTTCCTTACAGAGGATGACCTGGGGTGCTGCACCAACGCCCAGAATAAGATAAACAAGGAAGAGTTTGAACTACTAAAGAATAAACTGCAGTTTCAAGGTGATTTTGATCTGGTACCTGAGTTCAGGTTATTGAGATAATAGATTAGTTCTGAAGGGTCGTTTTCTTACAGACTTTTATTTTTGCATAGGTTGTGTTTTTTTTTTTATTTCTATTTACATATATATGTAAACCCAGCCAAAAATAACATCATGAACAACTTCCAGGAAGCACAGTGTGAAAACATGCACGACCACATTATCTCATCTCTGCAGGGATGCACTAATCTAACGTTAGAATCGCATATCCATCCAGTCCTGACTCAACGTGCTGGATCTGTGTCAGCATGCCGACTTATGGACACGTCTGTTTCAGTTCTGTTGTCTTGTGTTTACTTCAGCATGTAGCTAGCAGAGAGCTAACATAGCTTGGAGGAAGTTAACAACATCGTTTAGGTGATCCTGAACTAAAAACTTTTTCAAGTTGTTTAAATGTACATTTTATTTACACAAGTATAGTAAACATGTCTGCTTATGTAATCATCAGAAATGCATATACTGTCAAATAAAACAAGACTCAAATGTTAGTAATCACCCCCTGAAGGCCCAGTCTGAGCAAAGAACAAGCCCTGCATACCTGTTTGTATGTTCCTGTGTGAGCAAGCTCAGCAACTGTTTGGGTAAAGAGAAAGAAAGCGGCGTCTCTGACATCTGTTCCCTGACCAGCAGCCACCTCTGATCTTCTGTCTTAAACCTGTTCACCTTAGAGACCTGAGCACACAGCACTGCACACACACACACAGGTTAAGGAAGGAAAACTGATATAAAAGCAGAAAACCATATCCTGTAAACTGTGTGCCTCACATGCTCTCATCATTGGACTGTTGTCTTTGTCGTGGACAGAGCCGTGAATACTGTCGCACAGCGTGGAACACTGGGGCAGGAAAACGGAAAGAGAGAAAGTAGGTCAAACATAATTTGTTATTATTTATCTCTTTTCTTGCACTTTAAAATGAAAGCTAGACTGGACAGTGCTAAAGCAGCTTCACTGTGACTCATCTACCAACCTAGACCTCAAATGTGCCAGAAAGAAAACCACAGAGCCAATTGTCGACTTGAGACGAGTCCACGGTGCATCAAACAAGCACCACTGAAAGAGAAAGACAACTTTGTGCTACCTTATGTTCAGAAGGAGTTTGACTCTCGCCGTCTCCCTCCATCTGCACGCGGGACACCCGCACCTCCCCCACCTCGTTCACGCCATCCATCGTCCTGATGAAGAAAGAGTGGACACTTCATATTCAAAGAAAAAAAATCACTAAAATGTAAAGACTGAGCGGTAAGGGTACCATGAGTAGGGCATTTGATGCTAATTAATTCAACAGAATTCATGAACATATCAGAAATATGGGAAGTACAGCGCTGTGGGAACACAGACTCTGCTCGTATGTGGATTTGCTCACATGGACAGTCACTCTTGAGAGGCCCACTGTGAGCCAAGAAAACCTGATTCACTTTTCAGTTCCTCTTCATAGTTTAAATTCATAATTTGGAACGGACCAGTGAACACAGGGGGACATATTAAAATATTTCAAACCAAGCTTTCTGAGAAACAAGACAGCAGAGCGACTAGTGGGAAAAGTTAGAGAGACTGAATGAAAAGCTAACTAAAAATACAACGACTAGCAAGACAAAGCTTCAATCACCTGCTACCTGATTCACCAACGAAACAAACGGGAAGAAAGAAATAGAAAGTTAGGTATACAAGGCTAACCTGAGCCACAATCAGCTAACGAGAAAGACGAAGCAACTACAGAGAAGACAAAAGTTACTCAAAACAAGATTACTAGACAACTTAAGGTGGTCAGAAACCAGAGAACCAACAATCCAACACTAACCATAAACAAACTAACTAACAAAAAGAAGCTAGTGAAAAAAACAAACATACTAGAAACATAAGAAAAGTTCAGGAGGGAACATGTTTAAGACGATAGTAACAATTAGCTGGAAATGAAAAGTTAGTTAAACAAAATAACTGACTAGATGGTAAAAACAGAAACAATAAATGAAAATACAGATGGAGGTAAAGACTAATTATTAACTAGAGAACTGAAGCTCACTAGAAACAATTACAAGCAATACACGGCTAAACAGAACAACGAGGCAATGCTAAAGAGCAAGAGAACTGGAGTAGAAATAGATGCTGCACACTTTTATGGCCTCCAGGCGTTAATTTTCCTGTTGTTTTTCCCCACTGATGCTTCAGAAAATTCTTATTTAAAGAGTTTTAAACATTGAATCAACCCAGAGACTGACTGGATAACATCTGGCAACAAGCAACATGAGGGGGGAAAATGTGTATTCCCTTACTGGTTGAGGTCATTCACATGACACTTGTCGCAGTAAGGCGCACGGTGCTGCACCAGGATTAGCTTTTTGCAGGGTTGCATCACAGTTTTTCAAGCTGAGTTTTTGAGAGTGTTTGCAAACAAGTTGCCATCTTCAATGCAAACTAGAACAACCAAAGCAACGACAAGTAGGTCATTGCAAGCTCTTTGTGACCAGTTTCAATTAGACAATTTCATGGTACATGTGCAAAGACAATAACGGACTATTCTTTTCTAGATAAGCCGTATTCACCAGCAACCGCTTGCCAATATACATTCTTCCTTAAGCTTCAGCTACACAGGACTACACAGGACTAGGGACCAGTCAGGGACCTCCTGACCCCCTGATAACCCTAAAAATAAAGCTAAATATTAACAACAGAAAGACAAAAAAAAGGTACTAAGAAACAAATCACCATTAAGGTAATCAGGAACCAACATAAATATGAAGTAATGGCTACCAATTACACAATAAGCACCAGGAAAAGTTAACTAAAGACAAAATAGCACCTCTAAATGATAGAAGAACCAACAAACACACGTCTGAAAGACTAGCTAAGAAATTCCATTAAGGTGGTAACAAATATTTCTGGATAAAGATGCCTTGCTTTTGTAAGTTTATTTGAAATGCTTCTTTATGAAGTCACAAAAATTTGCAGTTCTGCCAGCCTGCATGAGGTATGCGTTAGTAGTGAGGCACACCTGGATACAACATGCCAGCACAGACACACCTACTGCACTCCGCCTGCTCATGCCTGGACCGCGCTCTGGATCTATGCCTCTCTCTCCTCGTCTTCATTCTTCCTGTCCTCCTTCGATCTCTCGGAATTTGCTTTTTCATCTAATCTAGTCTTTACGGCTGCTCGTCTGTCTCTCTAAAGATGCTGTGGTGACAAAACAGGAAGGAGCTGCCTTTTTCTACTTTCTACAGAGGTGGAGCCCCACGCTCTCTCCTCACTTCCTCTTGTGGTCTACAGTATCTAAGCAACGGACAATCCTGGAAGCTTTTTATGACGTGCAATTCGTTGACTTCAAAACATTTCTATGATAGGAAATGGGGTAAAGCTGGGAGAGAGCATGCATGGTGAGGAAAAGAGTGTGTGCAGAGCAGGTAAACTTAAAATGAACTTCGGATGCCTGCAGGGTGGTGGGCGGGGAAAGTTGTTGATGAGTTAAACCATGCAGAATAGTGACGAAAGGTTAGTAAAACTGGATAAGGGGGACACAGAGTAATTATAAACTTTATTTTAAGAGAAGATGTGATGAATATGGTTAAAAGGGGAAGATTTAAGTGTGTTTACCTGAGGCTAAGAGAGACGTGAGGCTCCTTGACCCTGAGCAGATCTCTGATAGAGAACGAGGTAAAACCCAGGAAGCTCCTCTGAGACAGAAACAGAGCAAGACAGTTGTTTCATCTCACATCAAACTGCTTTTTCATTGTTTAAATTTTCTTTGTGGCTCACATCATAGCCATATAAATATATCCAATTTCCACTGACAACAAGCTCTATGTGAAAACATCAGCTTTAAAGTAGATTATGATGATAAGACGCGTTTCAACTTGTGTTTTTTAGAATCAGGTCAAAAACATCGACTACACAGTTTCACATTTCAAACCATGTATAACAGCAACACTTAACCATAACGTGAACTCTAATAGCCTCATCTGACAGTGTGGCTGCAGTCTGAGAGACTCAAGGACAAAACCTTCTTCTTTTAGAGGCCTGATGGTTTTCCTTAATAACAAATAAGAAGCAGCACTACTTGTATATCTCAAGTCACTGGAGATTGAAGCTTATCGTGGCAAACACTGGGTGAGAGCCAGCGTGAACCAGAGTAAAAATACTCACAGTTTGGTTCAAAACTCGACTTTTAGGCACAGTTTTGGTTTGACACGCTGACTCCACAGCTTCCAACAGACCAGCAGGCCTTTACCAGGCATTACAAGCTACAGTAATACCACAAAGAGGACCTTTGTAGTGCGGTCACGATCTCAGTTTCAGAACTCTTACACCCTAGAAAGCTTTCACAGGTCAGTTTGGAATCAGCACGTAACCGTGGGAAGAAGCCAGAGCACACGGGGAATTTCACAAACTGGTTTTGTGAGCAAAATATAGTCACTGACTAAAAGCTTCTTCCAGCTGCCCCGTCTTTCACGAGGGGTCACCTACTGCAGCATGCATCTCCTTGTGTTTGACTGGGCAGATTTTTACACAGAATGGCCCCAAAGGGATCTGGATTGTAAACCACTACACTATGGAGCCAGACACTGACAGAGCCAGAGAGTAGCACCAGTGCTATGGTTTCACTGTGCATTTCTTCTGCACCTAAAAATGAAACAGACCTGTACAGCACCATCATGTTTGGCCTATTTTAGCTCTTGAACTTTCCAAAGTAGGCTACTTATTGAAAGCCTCTCTTTCCTCTGTGACTACATACTCTTACTGCTGGGTGGATTCAAACACCAAAATCAAGATAAAATCTACACTCGATAAAGATGTGAGGTACTCAGTCTTCTCAGCTGAGACTATGTGCGTACAGCATCTTTCCTTTTAATTGAATTCTGTGTTAGGCAGCTTGTGCCCGTCACTACACGAACCACAGCTGCAACTGCACATGCCAAAGTTTATTAAGAACTTAAAGCGATGTTCAGGCCAGATTAAAGCTGTACAACACGTGCCCTACGATGTCAGAGCCAGGCTATAATCAGGCTGATATCATGCAGTCTGAACCCGACGTAACAGCCCTCACAGGGAAGACGTATTCCACTCCAAGGTATGTACAGAGCTGTCACACCAATTAATAAAGGACCAAATACACATCCAAACTCATCATCTCCACAAGGTCACGGCCCTGTTATCAAAAATCCCCACGGCAACGACACTGAAATCATTCGGCTGCCATGACGATAATCGGAAACTCAGAGGATTACCTTGACGAGTGAAAAGCACTCAAATCACCCAAAACACACACAAACACACACCACAGTGAAGACAAAGTGAATGAAGCTGCATCTACTTCAGTTGTCTGATATCTTTTATCACATCAAACATGCATTCATTTCACTGAGTCTGAGACTTTAAGCTGATATTCAACAGAGGCAACCATCAAAAAACTAAAAATACACAAATAAATAAAAACAGCAGATATAAAAAGACACCAACCCACACAGAAAGTAGCTCCCACGTGAGGATTCATTCATCTGAGTGATGTTTGTACAAACATCTAATGAATTTGGATAGGATTGGATTGGCCAAACATTTTGTGACAGGTTTTCATTTCTGTGTGTAATGTAAGGCCGATAGCTTCAGATGCATCTGGTCCACTGCGAGCAGCAGTGCAGGCGTACTGATGCATCAACTTGCATCAATTTTGGCCGCCTAGCCGAGAGACATAGAGGAGGTTTAACCTTTTCATTTTTTAAACATGCTGATTTGCTTTTTAAGTTTCTTACTCAGTTCTTACCTTCCTTTTATTTGCTGGTTAGTTCTGGATCAAATGAATTCGTCTGTGAGTTTGTGCAGTGAAAACTGGTCGGTCAGAATAAGGCAGTCATTTTTTAAAAGTTCTGAATGTTAATTGTTTAGAAAAAACAACAACACTTATTTGTGTGATTACTATATTTAAATTATCACAATGCAGGACATGTTACAGCAGACACGCTATGACGTGTCCTCATTGCTTCCCAAGAGCAGAGCCAGCCTGCAAACAAACTTCTCCGAAAGCCTTAAAACGTTCTTCATAAGTAGAAATTCATCTTTGTCAGAGACCCTTGTAGGACGCTGAAAAGAGAAAACCACTTGAAGACAGACAGAAGGAAACCGGATATTGATGGGTTAACTTCAGTCATGCAAACAGTTGCCTCATTTCCTCGTTTGCAGCTCAAGGTTAGGGTTACAACACGCAAACATGCAAACACACACCGAGCTAATCTGTCTCACTCAGTTCTTGGGAAAAGCAAGAGGCTTTTAAGATTAAATGCAAATCACCATCAAACCTTGACACACACGACAATAAAACATCTCTATTGTTTATTTCCACAACAATGACATTGAACTGATGCATCATCTGCACCACCAGCTTATCAGGAAACAGCATCAGGGTTATGCAGCGATCACAAACAGGGCCGAAGCAAAACCCTGTATTGCAGAGTGTGAAAGACGAGGAAGTTAAGGTTCACATATAAACCTGAATAAGCATCAGCTGCGAGACCAAACATGTATCAGTGTTTTATCAAAAAAAGTCCCCTGTCTAAAACCAATTTCCTCTGGAATATCCCTTAAAGTTAAAAAGCCACTCAAGACTGTCAACCTTCCTCTACACATACAGAGCATGTTTCCATTCACTTAGCGTGGTCTTAGTCGCTGTGTAAGAGTGCTGAGGGCTACTTTTGAAAATTTCCGGTCTCTAAACTCAGCTGAAGGCTCGTAGAAGGCTTTGATCTCTGCCTCAAAGACCATCATCGGAAACCTGCGATAAATTTTTGCTTCTATTTTGTAATCGTCCAGCATTTGATGCCTGGCCGGTCAGGTCTGTGGCTAAAGTAGCTGACTGTAGCTTAGGGATGGACGGCTAGCTATCAAAGCAGACACATCTCTAAACTTAAACCTTAACAAATACCAAAATAAATCAAGTTATATTTAATCCCTTACAGTTGAAACTATCCACAGAGACTGAAGCAGATTTTTGTAGGGCTGTAAGCGGGCTTATTTCTGCTGCTAGTAAGGAGTTTTAAACATGGGAATCTACGGGGTTTGATGCATGTGGACTTTCCCTACCTGTCCAGCAGAGATGCTGTGGCCATCTCCTGGCGGTCGGAGACAGTCGGTGCATGCCTTCATGGCCCTCTGCATCCTCAGAAAGTTGGTTTTTTAAAAAGTGACTTCCTGTTTCTGCTCTGACTCTCACTATTTCAGTCTATATTTCTTTCTAGGATTTCCTGCTTTCTAACATCAGCTGAAGATTTGATTAACCAGCTGAATCTATACAATGACACACAAAGGAAGTGAGTCACAGGTACACATCCCAATACATTAAGCATGTGAACTTTTAAAACAATCAAACTTTTCTTTATTCTTAATATCAAACTGACTTTTTAAATAAGCTTCTGTCAGCTGCTGCCACCTCACCTGTGTCTGCTCATCAGTCTTTAAGGACATTTATTAATAGTTTAATGTCACTTTTCTAATGTAATGATTCCATATTGCCAGGTGCTCACTCCGTGCAGGCAGCTTTTACTGCAGTTTCATGCATTTAGATATACCCAGGTCCTACTGCCAGTACAATGCTGCGATTTGGTTGCAATCTCAAAACTGTACGCTCATTATTAACAAATATATTTGAAATGAATGTGAACCCAAAACAAAAGCAGGTAAAGTTTTACAAATCTAAACTGAAGCTGCTGCACAGACACACTGCTGGACAATCAGAAATACAGCCCAGCTACAGCATCTGCAACACTCATCTGCACCTGAACGCATCCTCGATGTTAAAGACTATTTGATATTTTAACGCTGACTTTGGCAGCAGCTGTACGAGCAGATTTCTCCTGCTCGTGATGCATTTCCAAGCAGGCGTTCAACAAAACTGTGGATAAAACAAGAGAAACGTGAAGCAGAAGGAGAGCGAGTTCATCCATTGGTCCAGGAATTAAGCGTCTCAGAAAACATCGAACACAAAAAATAAACTCAGTGTCGGCTTTGGTTGTCCCTTCTGATCCGTCTCCAGCTGAAAAGACCAACACACACCGGCCGAGTATCCTCCCGCTCCCTCCGCCTCCTATTTCGTCATGGCCGACTGGATTAAAAACACACGCCCCTGAGCATCATGGGAAACAATTGAACTGGCTGGCAGCTTGGAGTTTGGCAAAGAGGACGGAGGGAAAAGAGCTGAAAACGGAAATATTTGCTTTTCTGTAATCTCACTTTCTCTCTCGTGTTACTCTTTCAACCAGCTGTGTGTGTGTGTGTGTGTGTGTGTGTGTGTGTGTGTGTGTGTGTGTGTGTGTGTGTGTGTGTGAGTGAGAGAGAGACAGATTAAGTGACCCAAAAGAGAAAATGAGTGTGCTGAAAAGCTACCACTGCTGGTATCACACATGCACATAACCGCACCACTAATCCTCTTAAACACACAATTTTTCAGACACACAGGAAAAACACACACCTGGAAACACACACTCACATATATACACACACTCACTGTTGTGGAGTCGTCACCATGGTAAATGGTGACTTTGATCCTGCAGTGTCGGTATAGCGGGAAGTCATCACAAAAGCACACTGATGTCAGAAACACACCATCATCTGATCCCTGAAACACACACACACACACACACACACACACACACAGACACACAAACACACACACACACACACACACACACACACACACACACACAGAATGCAGTTTGATCAATTCAGAGGAAAATAATAAGCCTAACTTGAGCTTAGCCTTAATATAACGCAGCTCATGTGCCATAAATGGTGTGTGAAAGAGGTTCTCACAAAAATAGTAATAAAAGCGAAGAACAGGACTTGGCAGTCTGTGTGTGTGTCTGTGTGTACCTCTGCTATCTCTGCGCTGCAGTGCTTCCTGACTGTGTGAGTGTGTGTGTCGATGACAGAGATGTGAATCTGGATTTTGTCTCTGATGATATCCAAACCGTGACACTCTGAGAGAAGAAGGGCCGTGGGAAAGACGTCAGGAACAAAAACACACGGTATGACACAGAAAATCAGCAGTGTTATAAATGAAAGCTTTAACGGTGTGTGTGAGTGTGTGTGTGTGTGTGTGTGTGTGGACATACCCACTGTCAGGTGCAGCGGAGATACTGTAGCAGCAGTTTCTGCTCCACCTGGTGGCCACAGAACAGCATTACATCAGCTGTGAACTATTCAAACCTGTTAGTTTAACACACATCCATGTGCTATTTTTATAAACCCTGTGGCAGCTGGGATAGGCTCCAGCCCAACCACAACCCTGATAAGGATTAGTGGACGAGAATGGATGGATGGATTTGTCCACTGCTTATCTGGGTTCAGGTCATGTGGGCAGCAATAAATAAAATAAATAAAATAAAAAGTATAACGTCTCTTTGACACTGAATTAAAACAACAAAAACTTCTTTGACCGACATGCTCACCTGCACCTCCATCATTGTCAGGGCTATCCGTGGTGGTTTGTGTGTGTTCCTGCGTGTGTGTGTTAATGAGCGTGCGCAGGTGTGTGATGCGTCTCCTCAGCTCCTCGATGTTGGCGTCTCTCAGGCTGATGAGCCATGACGTGCACTCTGCAGAGCTGCTCGACTGCAGGAACACGGGAGGGTCGCCGCTCTCAAAGCCTCAACACACACACACTAACGCATTTTACTGTGCTCACATAGTATGCGAAAAGGTTCGTTAATGCGTGTTTGTGCGCGTGTTACGTACTGACAGCCAGCCGTCTGCTATTGTGTGGAAGCTTCATGACGTTACATCTCTCCAGCAGCAACACCTCCTCCAGCTCACCAGCCTGTGTTAAAGTTTCACATTTTCTCTTTAATAAAGAACAAAAAGACACGTTTCCTGGTTTTCTTGGTGTCTCTATGTTGACTCTCACCTGCTTCTTCAGGATGAACAGCAGGTTTCCTCTCAGACGGCAGAACCGCTCTGTGAGACCTGTGAAAGCACAGAACGGCTCACAGATTTCTGAACACTAAGATGGAAAAATCTGTCTAAAGGGAGCTCTGCAGAGCGTGTTAAATAACAGCGTTTTCTTTCATGACCTTTAGATTGTGAGTCAGGAAACTGCTCTGCCGGTGGAGACTCAGAGGTTCCAGGAAGTAAAGTTAGAGTGACTCAGGCAGGAGATGGAAACAGACGAAGATGACTGCAGAGCAGAAGAGAAAAGAGATACAAAACAAAGGAGAAGAAAACAACAGAAACATGAGAGAGCAGGATACAAAAAACAGAACTAAAGATCAAAAAAGAGAACTAGTAAAAAAAATAAAGACGATAATTAAAGAGAAAAAATAAGAAAATGAAGATGAGAGGCAAAAGATAAAAGAGAACAAAATAGAACAGAAGATAACAAGAAGCATAAATATTAGGACAAATAAGGGAGAAGAAAATAGCAAAGAAGACAACGACAAAGGAGAGCAAAACACTGCAGTGAAAGTGAAGTTAAATAAATAAAAAAGAGAACAAATGAAAAAAATAAAGATATTTCCATCAGCCTAATAGAGGTTATGATAAAGGAGAATAGAACTGATCAGAATCTCTTACCTGCCTCCTGCCGTCCGACCTGCAGCGTCCCTTCTTTCTGGAAGCTCCCAGATGTTTCTTCTTTGGACAGAGACAGCAGCTGGCTGCGGTTCACTCTCAGCTTCATCCTCCTCATCATCATCATCTGCCTGCTGACCCCGCCATTATGATCTTCTTCTTCATCACTATCCTCAGCATCATCAGGGTTCCGTGAGCGTCACTGCTTTCTAAACAGAAACACACAGAACAAATCAATCAGTCTTTATTTATAAAGCACTTTTCATACAAAAAAATGTAGCACAAAGTGCTTTACATGGTTAAAAGCAGCCCACCCCACCCTCCAGCTCACTCCCCACACTCTCATTAACATGTTTAAAGTTTGCACTACAAAAACAACTGGAATATTCTGAGTACTGTGGCTATATTATTTACGTAGTAATAGTACCGCACACGGTTTACATACTTACATCCTTAAGCTAAGGCTTTGTGAAAACAAATACATGAACATAAAGCGGAACAAGTGCACCTGCACGGTGCCACACCAAGTTAATGCTTGACATTAGTTGTTGACATGACGGGAAAATGTTTATAAAAACAACCGAAAACTCGACTAAATATCCGCACGTGAGATAAAGTGATTCACAAGTGTTTTCCGCTTTTTCCGTGTCTCTTACCGGCACAGAAAGTGGGTTTTGGAGGGGTAATGACCAACTTTACCAGCCGCGGTGTGTTTGGATAGACTTAGCCAACGCCACAGCGAAATAACGTTTGATCGAATCAAGTATCGCGAGAGTTGTCTGTCTTCCCAGATGCGCTACTAACGTGGAACTAAAATATGTCGCGAGAAAAACATCATTAGTCAGTTGAATTATATCCCATCGATTTACTGTTAAAAATGTGAAAGCTTGTGCTTCTGAACGTTAGAGCGTTAACACTGGCTGTGCTAATATGGCTGTAGACGATGTGCTCTAGGATGTTGAGGACTATTTAGAAATTCTCTAATACCTCATATTGCTATCACCGCCCCTCCAGGTGAGGACAGGAGGTTAACGCAAGCATCCCCTACAGAAAAACGAAAAAACTTCCGGGTGTGTGTGACTTTTTTCCTCGTTCTTGATTTTGCTTCACAACTTTTTAATTAGTCCAGTTTTCAGCTTGTAAGGTTTAAATATGCGGAGCTGACGGCAGGGGAAAAAGCAGAAGCCCGGAAGAAGAAAAAGCAGAGTTTCTTTCAAAGCTGTGAAGGTAAAAACTGTCTGCAGTGTCTCGAATGGGCGCTGTCTGTTTCTGTTTAACTTATTTGATGTCAAGAGCGACTTAAACACTCTTTAATCCGCCTTTAACGCGTATAAACTGATGTAAAAACTGGATTTAGTTACTTTGTCATGTGTGAAAATACTTCAGAAGTTTCTTGCAAAACCTTTAAAAAACTCTACTTGTATGAGGCTTTCAACTTCCAGCTCGATGTAGCAATAAACTGGAAACTGAGTGAATAAGAATACAGCAGGGAACTATTACTACACATACAGGCTATTACTAAGATTAATGTCGTAAAATGATGCAGAAATTCATTCTCTTTTTCTGTTTTTTGTTTGTTTGCTTTTTACCTAATCGTTGTTAGTTTAGGTTTCCTCTCTATTTTTAACCTGCAAACTTTTCACTAATCCAGCTGCAGAAAATCTTTAGAATTAAATAATAAAAATTACGAAGAACTAAAAAAGATGTAAACAAAGCACCTAGGCGTGCGTGTGTGTGTGTGTGTGTGTGTGTGTGTGTGTGTGTGTGTGTGTGTGTATTTTAATACAGTTTTAATTGATTTCTTTATTTTATTATATTAGTGTCATTGTTATTTTTTTTATTGAAGATTTCATTATTAAAAATGTAAACATTTTTAAATAAAGCATATGAAGTTGTGCGGTAAATGGGTAAATCTGACTACATTTTATTCATTCTAATTTTTAATTAACTCTGTTTCATGAATTTCTTTTTCAAGGTTTTGTAAAACTTAAAATGAATTTAAAAATAATGTATATGCGTAACAGTAGTTTAAACAAAAAGGTTTTACATTTCTGGCTTTTATTTGGCTCTACTCTGAGCAACAAAAACGATAATTTTGTGTTCACCGACTTGTTGGTGGAAGTAAAGCATATTTCCCTTTTAATAAGCAGACGTTTAGATTAGCTTAATTTTTCCTGTTGCATTGTTTATTTTTTAAATGCGGCCTTTTATATCACGTTTGCAAAATAACTTTGTCTGGATCATTTCTGCCTTGTGATGTTACACGTGAGGTCAAAGGTCACCGTTTACCTGCTGATCTGTCTTATCGCACATATAATGAGAGGTTTGTACTTTAAGTAAAGTTAAGTAAAGTTTTAGAAGATTTAACTTTATTACTGTGTTACAGTGGCTATTACTTGTCCATGTCATAAGAGTGACTGACTCACAGGCCCCGTAAATGGCAAACACGTCCCAGCTCGTGAGTGATTCATGCAGCTTTTGGATAAAGTTGTTCAGTCAGCATGTGTTTAAACTCCCTCTGTAATGTTGTCAGTCTGTTTTAAGATGGCACGAGGTTTGTTTTGCAGGATGCAGGGTGTGTTTAAAGCATTTGGAAGTCAGATAAGCCTTCATTTGCGGACTTTCATTTTTTTAGAGCTGTGCACTTCTGTGACCAATAGGTGGCGTTAGATTCTAGACTGAAAGAGATGCTGATCCTGTTTGTGCTTTTATTCTACCATGTTTTCCTTTAACTAAAGTAATCTTAGAAGCAAGTCTCACACTGCATGGCATTTATTTTGACCGTTATTTTAAAGCAATATTGAATATATAAGCAATACATACACACATTTTGTTTAAGAGGCCACCCAGGCATAAAAACCAGTCATATTCACACTGGCTTAAACAAAAGGTGTACAGTTGCATCACGTCAGTGTTGTCCTGGTTAAACATCCAAAGATAGTTTGACTTTAAACGAGTTCACGTACTTTTTTTTGTTTATTTTATGGAACACGATGAATAACAGCATTTTTACTGATAATAATAATTAATCAAGTAATAGTCAGGTGTAGCTTAGCTTCTATTAAAGAGCTCATTCTGGTGAAATGATTGGGTAGAAACACCACTCTGAAAAACTTTTCATAACAATCACGTGAACAAGTTTTTTAACAGCACAGATGATTGTTTTCTGTTTGTTTAGTAAAAGAGGAGCGAGGGAGGAAGAGGAGGATGGCCGTGGTGGAGCAGAGAGGAAGTGTCACCGTGGCGTCCGCTGTCACAGAGGAAGAAATTCCTCCAAAGGTGAGCCTGTTCGATGGCACGAGCAATAAGAGTTTAGTAGGACCTGCTTTTTGTGAAGAAGGGGGGAAATATTGTTGTGCAGATGGTGGTAGGAGGCAGAAACATGGACATGTGTATATATACATGCAGATAATGGCACATAATGCTGGATCTGAAAATTTTAGTAGATGCCTTTTAACAGAGGATTTCACTGAATTTAAATATAATTAAAATAGAAAAAAAAGACAAGTTTAGAGACAAAATTGGTTAAGATGATGGAGGACAAACAGTGAGTGTAAAGGCTGTATTGTGAGGTCTTGTTGGGAGAGCGATGGCAATTTGAAGTGGCACTAACATATCACATCACTATCAAAAAAAGTGTTAGGGAGATGGATGTTAACAAGCCTTCTTCAGGTTCCCCCAAAGAGGCATTTTCAGACTGGTACTTGTACTAGCTGGATCTTGTTGACCAATTTGTCCTTTTTGTATTGAGCTGAACTAAACAGCGAGTGAGTCAGGGCTTTTAAAAAGTACAGAAAATACGCTGCTGTTAACAGAAGGTCTGTGCTTGATTTAAAACCCATAACAAACAAGAGCTTTGTGCTGAAAATGAAAGGAAAGAAGTAGAAAATTATAAGTGTTTCATAATCATTGGAAAAAAGTGTTCAGTTTATCAACTCATGTAAGCTGTAGCCATCCTGAATAACTGATTGTACTCGTCTTTAACAGGGCAGGCTGTGGTTGAAAGACCACACCCCAATGCTGCTGGTTTCCAGTAGAGTAAACATCAGCTCATTTGTATAATCCACAAACAGCACTGTGGACGCTTTTCATTGGAACTAAAAATGTCCAGTGTACAAACTAGCACGTTCTACTTTAAAGCCCTCAATTAAAATACTGGAAAATCTTAAACGACCAGTAAAAGTTTCATGTGAAGGACAACAAACGACATGCCGTTGCTCCTGCCGCCGCTCAGCAGCAAAGCATCAGAGCGATGTGTAGATTTAAAACAGACCTGTGGTTAGTGCACTTGTTTTTACATCTAATGCATGTGGCTGTGCAACCTGGCAGGTAAAAACAAAAGCGGGCAGATTCTGTAATCTTATTAGCTGCTGCCATGACAACAAAGGCAAACTGGTGCGATGAACATTCACAGTGAGCAGATGAATCAGTGATTCGAAGACCGTTGTTGTGGTTAATATTAAGTGTGTGACAGCGGGAGGCAGGAGTGGTGCTCCTTGCATCTACATGTAGTTGCTTTTTGTAAACTGAAACGTTTCAGCTGCTGCTCGTGAATATCCAGCAGCTTGTTGTTTTGCTTTTTTGTTTTCACGACCGGTGACTGACTGAAATAAAACAATGGTTCTTTTTTTCATGCTTTCAGTGGTCACATGAGAAGGTTGACGCCACACACGTTACACTTTAATACGAGTAAACTTGTGAAACCTTTTCTTTTCATACTCTTTACATTCCACTAAAAATGAACCTTTGCTAGACAGACCTCAGGGTTTATGCGTGTGTGGAGAAAATGTAGGCTGTAGAGCACAATTAAAAAATACAATTTTGCAAAGCGTCTGAATAAAAGCTTACATTACACATAAGTGTTCAAACATACGGTCTTACATTCTCTCCTGCATACACACAAACACAAGAATAATGGGAGAAAGGTTCATCTAAAAAACTCTGTTCTCAGGGGGGCTGATGTGATGTTACCTCATTTGAGATGTTATGAGGGCCAAACACAAACGTTTCTTCTATTGCCACCGCCACAGCTCAATAAATGAAAAGAACACAGAAGTCCCAAAAATGGTGGATCCTCCATTTCACTCAAACCTGGAATACAAACTTGTTGGATGGTCTGTACCATACAACAATCCATGCATCACATAAATCCATTCTCCACAAAAAACCCACCATTAACATGGTCAGGAGGTCCAGTTCAGTGACTAAGAGATGATGGATTACCACAGCTCTGTATCTGACTGCACTCCTAACTTTATGCCTTAGAGGTTTCCAAATGGATGACTTATAAAAACATGAGTCTTTGTGCAGTTATGATGGAGGGAACCATCCATAGAGGCCAAAACAGCTTTTTATTTGCAAACATGTTTATTTTGGATATAAAGTTGGGGAGCACTTTGGAGCCAACCTCAAGTGAACATTTTGTGCTTCAGTCCCAGTGGTTGTTGTGCTGGTTAATCATATTCATTCCACATTAAACTGTCTCTTTAATCTCTCATTTTTCTTTCCATGTATAAATTAGTTCGATTAATTTGATAACAACACTGTAAAATATATTAACTAGATTGATGGTTTGAGTTGTTGTCTAAAAACAACATAGAATCTGGTGGGTCACCAGTCATGGAAACTTTGATGGCTCAAGCCACCTGTAAAACCTCAGATTTGAAAATCTGCTGTTCGATTCAAATGTTATACACATAAATGGAGACCATTGGTAGCACCAGAGTTCTTCAGGAATAAACATTAAACATGGTGAAAAGAATAAATGAAATGCCTCCATCCATCCATCTTCACTTATCCAATTCAGTGTCATGTCATGTGTTAACTTTATTTACCAAACATTGGTAGAAACTACTACAGACTCCATTAGTAAAAGAAGGAAAGTATTTCAGAAAAGGTATGAACCATTGAACCCAGATCTCTTCACAGCTTAAATCACAAAAAATAACAGCATGTCTGGCCTATAGTTAATAGATAGAGAGGATATCTATAGAGGACTGATAAGTGGAGAAACAATTTCTCGATAAACCTCTGTTATTGGACCTTTAATAACTCTCCACAGAAATCCGGACCCTTACAGTCACATATAAGCTCCTCTAACCTTTGGAAAAATCCAAGGTGGGCACTGAGAGGCTTGATTTGCGTCACTGTGTGCCTCGCTGTCACTTCAATGTGGCACGAAACCTTTGAGCTAATTTCCTGCAGCACGGTGAGCCTTCCAGGTGTGTGTGTGTGTGTGTGTGTGTGTGTGTGTGTGTGTGGTGTGTGTGTGTGTGTGTGTGTGGTGTGTGTGTGTGTGTGTGTGTGTGTGTGTGTGTGTGTGAGTGAGTTTTGGGAAAGTGAGTCATTATTCCATTAGAAAACATATGTAAGATATGCTTACTGGTACAGTAACTTAGAATCTACACCCTGGCACTTTGTCAAAGTTAGGAGACCACACTAAACGACTGCCCCTTGTATGTTAGTCAGTTGCCTCTGTTTTGGCAGATAAGGGTGACCAGTGTGAAATTAGTCAAAAGAAATGCTTTACTTTCCAGGGGTGGCATGTCTGTAGCTCACTGGATAATTATTTAATCGTGCAGTTTATAGCAAACCTACTGAAAAGTTTCAATTAATTGATTTTTGGTAGCTAATTATGAGCCGTGTCATTTCCTTTCGTTGCTGTTGGGTGCTACTGGTTAATGGAGATTGTTAGAAGTTTCAACACTGGGCCTTTGGCTTAAGCTAGTCTATGGGGTAAGGTGCATGTTATTCATAGACATGCCAAAACCTCGCATCAAGGAGGTGATCGATTGCTAGCAAAAACAATTGTTTGAAACTGCTTGATTTGCATTCATTTGCGAGTATAACTGAGACCAGTCTAACCCCACAGACCAGTCAAAATTTGAATTTTGAGAAGGTCAAAGAGATCTGCAAGTAACTTTTAGATACAACAAGCTGCTTGGGCACGTCATGTCCTCAGTAGACCGTATAATGATAGAAGCCGTTAATTAAACAGTGATGTTTTTTACAGGAAGCAAACGGTAATGGCAGCCACGCCAGCAACGATGTTACTGCCCCCACAGCTGAGACCACTCCAGATGTTCCAGAGGAACAGAAGCAGAGCAAAGGTAAAGAAGTGTAGGACTTACAGCTGAACACCACCCACCTCTAATGCCAGTGGTGTAGGGTATTCCAGTCCATTGGTAGACTATAATTTGGCCCGTTTATTCAAGTACTTTGCATAAAGTTTTAATGTACTTTTATTGTGCTTTGTACCTCATCTCACGTATTTTAAATCTTTAGTTACTCTTATTTAGCGTTTTTTAAATACAACTCTCCCAATAAATTGGGAAGGAATATTATTAGACATAAATGTACCCAGCACAGTGCAGGTAATTCACATCCTCTCTAGCTGCAATATTCAAGTGATATACATGTTGCCTAGTCAATAATAATAATCATCCAGTAATGTAATGTATATGATTCCATGTACAGAATATTTTTACTTGAGGTATTTTAAGGATATTTTGATGCTCAGCTTTGTCCACTAGAGGGCGCTCCAGAGTGTGAAAACTGCAGCAAAGTCATTAGACTCCTGTTGCATCCAATCAAATGCACTGTTATTGCTGCTGATACAAGCATCACTATACTGAAGTGTAACTGTACGCACATTTGAAGTGTTTTCATAGAGAAGTGCAATATTATTTATGTGTCTGTCCAACAAGTTAACATTTTAATAACTTTAACAGCTTTTGTAGATCCAGTCTGATCCATACATTTTAATAGTTGAAAGAGATTATTGAAATATTATGATTACTTCTTTTTCTTTGTCATGCGTTGTGTAAATGGTAGGTTCATTAAATATAATTAACATTAAAAACATCAGATGAACTCCATTGTATTTTCATTGCAAGTGAATATGACTTGATGATTATATAAATTTTTGACCCCAACTCCAGGTTTCTCACTCACACCTGAGATACCCCAAGGTGTGGTGATTCAAGGTAACAACAGCAACCCTGCCAGCGAGAAGTTCAGAAGAGTTCGCAACTGGAGCATCACCAAATATAAGGTTGGAGGATTTTGACTAGACTTCCTGTTACTGTACTTTGGTGCCAGATATAATCATTTACTATCGATCTGGTCTCCCCACAGTATACCAGGCAGGCTCTTTCGGAGAAGCTTGGCCGTGGGTCTCGTACCGTGGATCTGGACCTGGAGCCCCGCCTCGAGCTGCTCAAAGACGACCGACAGCGCTATGAAAATATGACCAGTCTGGCTCAGACGCTTGCCAGTCAGCTCTCTCAGCTCACAGTTACCCAGAAGAACCTCGGGGATGCCTTCACAGAACTCAGCGTCAAAACCCCAACTCTGCACGTAAGTATTGGGGATACAAGCTGCTACTTTAAGTCTACCTGCTAATGCTAACAGGATTACATACAGTAACCTTTGATGTATTTAGAATTACTAGATCCAGCGCTGGTGACATGCTGAACTCTAAGTTTCTTTGTCCAAAGATTATATATAAAAATCCCCAAGTTATGCTGTAAAAACACAATCTCCTGATTGTTTACTGTTTTTGGTCGTCATATTGATTGTGACTTGCTGAAATATTTTCCCGAATGATAGATGTCAACACTCGGGTATAACTTCCACATTAGTGCCAATAAAGGAGTAAAAGTCGAACTCACAAGTAAAGACGTCAGAGTTTACCTGCTAGTGCAGACAGATTGTTTGGTTCCCCACCACAGACAGTATGAAAGACCTCACTAATTAAATAATATTAATGATAATAATAATTAAATAGTGAAATCCTGTGACGCCCAGATCGGAGAGCTTTCGTCATTAAATATCTTGGTATCTTGAAACCAAATGTATTCACTGGCTACATAACTAGCGTGAGCTAGCGTTATTCACTGTGGGCACTTGGAAGAAGCACAAACGTCACATAAATTAGATTTTCAGAGTCCTTCACAGTGAAATCTCTCAAGCTGTTACAGGGAGAGTCAGACAAGCTTACAGCATTTTAAGAAATTGGTGATAAAAAGGCTTTAATATATGGAAAAAGCTACACAGAGTCCATGTAAACCTTAAGAAATCTTTAAGAAATGTTTTGATATCTTGTCCAGTCATAAACTGGAATCCAGAGGACGATATCGCCATTAAAGATCTCGGGTTCAACTGATTTGCCATTTTTCTGGTTGTAAACTAACCTAACAGATGATTCAGGTTCATTTAACCAGCTATAGTTCCCATTGATGTGGCTTTTATGTCTCTATGCGTCATGCTTACCTTGCATTTTCTTTGTAATATAAATACCAGCTGGAGTTTGGCATAAATGCAGACGCTCAGAGGTTTCTCTCCAAGAGCGGCGAAACGCTGACGGAAGCCATCAACGCCTTCACATCTGACATGAACACACTGGTCAACAAAACCATTGAAGACACAATGATCAATGCTAAGCAGTATGAGACTGTCAGGTGGGTTAAAAAGCACACTTCCTTTTTTCCCTTTCTCAATAAATTCATGTGCTGTGACAGTGACTCTGCAATCAAACTAACATCCAACCAGAAAGAAGCAGGGAGGTCAATCTCTGCACCCACGCAGCAGGAAATTGAGATCAAATGAGAGATGCCTAACCACTACAATACAACAGGGAGCTTCAGTGCACACATCCGTGTCAATTTCCTGTCTTCCAGGATCGAGTATGATGCGTTCCGAGTCGATCTGGAGGAGCTGAACATGGGCCCCCGTGATGCTGTCACCGTGCCCAAACTGGAGCAGGCCCAGAAAGACTTCCAGACTCAGAGGGAGAAGTACGAGAAGCTCCGAGACGACCTGTCAGTCAAAGTCAAGCTGCTGGAGGGGAACAAGGTGACAGTATTGGATTGATCTTTACCTTGTGCATCTGAAGTTAGGGAATAAAGATGGAGGTGACGACGTATGACTGAAACCATGTGACAAGTGAAATAGTTTTTAGCATCTTTTAAGGTTTCTCATCGTTTCCATGCATTTTTTCCCCAAATTATTCGACTATAAAATATTCTGTCACATTATTTTGTTGATATGACTACTTTTTATTAGGAGATGACGATAATAATAATGTTTATATAATAAAAACAGTTGATCAGTTTTTCCCCAGTAAAATACTCTTATTTAAATGACAATACGATGCTAAAACAAAGCGATGTGCACCGTTTTTATACCTGGTACAACAAATTCCCAATCCAGTGTCACTGTTATAGTTTAGGGTTTTAGCTAACTTTCTAATCTGCAGTGTTTCTAAGTTGGAATAACAATAACATAAATAACCACATGTGAATTGAGTAAAATTATTGTAGTGTCATCTAACACAGTTAATAAAAAAGTGTTATTTTTTCTTTCCTATGCAGGTCAAAGTCCTCCGTAATCAGCTGTGGATGCTCCACGGCGCCTTTGCAGCTCACAGCTTGTCCTGTCAGAATTTCCTGGAGAAGAACATCCAAGAGGCCGGAGAACATCTCAACAACGTCAGCACCGATGTCCCCTCCTTCCTGGAAGAAAGTTGACACAGCAAAGCAACAACCAATAGAGCTGTAAGGCAGAATCGGAGGGAGTCAGAGGAACATTTGGCATTCATGGATTCTCTGTGAGAAAAGTTTGGGAGTACTCAGCTAGAAATGTTTAATGTGATTAATTCATTTATACCAGAGTGGAATTTAATTTGTTAGATTTGGGATGAATTTCCAGCCTCACAAAGAGCTCTGGAAACAAAGTTGAGTGTTCGCTACAGAAAATTGGGAGTTAGCAAAAATAATTTATTTGGGATGTAGAAAGGGTTTCATGGGTTCTGGTGTAACTCATGGAGGTCTGGAAAGGCCTTGAAAAGGTCTCAAAATGTGAGTCTGTAATAAGTCTTAAAAATAATTCTGATTTAAGAGAAATATCATCTCATTCATTCAGTAAAATGCATTTATTCATAGACATACAAACATTCGCACTCTCCTGGGTTTCTTACCTCTGTTTCAGTGTGTTGGGGAGGAAATCCATCTAATCCTCCAGGAGTCAGTAAGCCTTTCTTTGAACTTCCAAAATCCTCAGCCACTGCAGTCACAAGCTCACAGCTCCCGAAAGTGCCTCAACACCACTGCTGGAAAACAGTTTCATAGTCAAAAAAGGCTGCTACAGTTCTCTTGTCTCTACCAGCAACATTAAGCAAATTAAATCTGAGTGTCAAATATCTGCAGATATCAGCAGAATCTAACTGGTATGAAAATATCAGCTAATTGTTTTGGGGGTTTTTGTCATTTTCAACTTCTGTTGATGCTGAAAGCTAAACCTAAAACAAGTCAGTAACCTTTGGATTTGATGTGCGTATTTGTATATCGATAAAAACCAAAATGCCAAACTCAAATCCAGCAACTGGTTATGTGTGATTCAGATTTTGTGTTTTATTTATTTTGACTGCTGAAGAATGGCCACCTCCAAATGTAGCTATCACAGTATCACTGTTCTTGGCTGGTTGCCACTTGGTTTACATCACAAGCAACTCTTTCACCTCTAAAGGTCAGTCACAACAAAACAGTGATCGTGATGTCGATAGTGAGCGTTGGTTGTCAGTATGCCAGAGATTTAGGTTTAAACCCCTGGTCTGATTGGCTGTTGGTCATGTTCTTTGCTTGTTCACGGTGCAAAAACATGTTGGTCCAATGGTTTGCTAATAGCCAAAAATGTTGGCGTTTATCTAGTATGTTAGCACTGCTTGTTGTTTAATACCAATCTTTCAGGCTTCACCAGTAAAAAGGTTTTCCTTTTTATTTTGGACGTTCACATTAAGAGTTGCACATTAATAAAAGTTGTAGAGTTTTAAATAAATAACCACACAGGCACTGTTTTTTTTCCAGTAGGATTCATCTTGCTGTGTGTTGGTCATAATACATTGTTTGTTTGTTTTTTAGAGAAAGACAGACTTTTAGGGAACATTTGAGCAAAGTGTTTTATGGGTAAAGCTGTAAAAAAAGTTTTACTATATGTCGACCATGGTGCCTTATAAGTATAGAAATGTTGGCTAAAAACAACTTTCCAGCAATATTTAACCATCAGCCAAATATTAGAGTTGAACTAACACTCCTATTAATGTACAGGTTCCTGCACACTTCTGTTTTATTATTTTCATCTGTAAGCTACACAACCAAATAAAGACTAATGAAACCAGTTAAGTTCCAGGTTTAGGCTGTTTACTTTCTGAGCTCAAGAAATTTTTTTTGGTGAGGAAAGGTCAGCTGAAGTTAGCCTTTTCGGGGGCAACTCGGGAGCCAATGCACTACTTTTATATTCGTAGATATGCATTATTTGAGGATGATGAACACATTTGCTACCTTGTTGTTTTTGTATTTTCCCAAATGAAACCAAAAATTTGGGGACTCTTCCATTGATGGACAAAAAAGCAGATGAAATGGTAAAATTGTGTTGAAATAATATTGGGGGCTTTGATTTGCTCGTGCCTGTTCCTGTTATTTTGTCCATCTACCATATTTTCTTGCACACTTTGCACTCTATCCAAACCATAGTCTGCCATATGCATTACTCATAAGATTGTAGTAATCTTCATTGAACGACTCCCTTATGTTATGTTGGCATGTATGAATACTCTTATGTTTGTGTCTGTATACCTCAACAAGACCAAATATGCAATGACTGTAAGATGCAGTGCAATAATGTCCCAACGACCTTCTTGCATGTAAATGTGTAAACTGCCAGTGACTTGAGTTTCCTGATGTATCTGTGACTTTAAAGGGAATTTCCACTGGGTGTAAACTGATACTCCTGTGATGTGTTTGGTGACCAAAATCACTTTCAGGCTCGACATCTTTAAGAAATGGTTTGGTTTGACTTTAGATTGTTAGAGGAAACCGTGCAACATTCTGATTGTTTTAAATTATATTTGAGCTTGAATCCACACTTTTGATCCAAGCTCATTACTTCTTGTTTGTGTGTGGTGAATATATTGATTGACTGCTAATTTATTTTTCGACAATTTAAAAAAAGAGTAGTTTGAAAAGTAATCTTATCTCAAGGTCCATTTACTAGATTATTTTTCTTGAGCTTTCAGTTGCATTTGGGAGAACACCTTAATATTAGCTTAAAGAGAGGTTTCTGGGATTGCGCAGTCATCAGTTGTAGGAAATCTGCAAGACAAAGTTGAAAGCTAAGGAGAAAATCTAATAAGATGACCTTGAATTTGTTTTTGTGGGTTTGTATTTGATGTGTGTGTGTATATATTTTTTTTCTTTCATTAAGTCAGATGGTGGTTACACCCAACTTGCCAAATCTAATATGTCTAGAAAAGATAAGCCACAGTCTTTGAATTGCCTTGAACTGACTGAATTGAGTTGACTTTGTCTGCTTGTTTTTTATTGAAGCAGAAAGAGGTTGGGGTTTTCACCAGGCAAATGAAAGTTTGGGGATTTTTTCCCCCAACACCACCACAGTTTGTTGTCAACTGGCTTTGTTTCAGCAGTTTGATTATCAGTCAGCTTTTTCTCAGGATTTTACCCACAGGGCTAAAGTAAAACTGAAAGTGAAAATATAAATTTTGCTTTTTATTAGACGTGAAGAAAAAGGACCAACATGTATGTAGACACAAGGCAAAATTATTTTACTCTGTATATGTTAATAAACCTATGAAATAAAATCGATGAGTGTACAAATATAAAAGATTTTGTTCATGAATTTCTGGCTTGATTTTGACAGTTTGACTCTGTAATCATTTCAGATTTTACTCAGATTCATCAAATCTTTTCATTTTAGTTTCACAAATTCCCGGTCAGATTTTGCCAGGTGCTTTGGTTTTTCTTTCCTTTGCCAAAGTCTTTGTTTTTTTTTGTTGTTGTTTTTTTTATCCTCACAGACTGAAAAGTATTTTCGGTGGCTGGCTATCATCAGGTGAAATCAGTTACAAAGAGTGACTTGATTTCTAGTAAATTTCTGCAGCCAGCTGTAGTTTTATGGAAGATACCAGCTTGACCACTGTACAAACCCTGCCCCTTTACTCTCTGAGCTGTAGTCAAACTTGAAAAAGTGCAACACAATACTGCTACGACTAGCACATATTAAAAGTTTCAAAGTTAACTTTGAAGTAGCACAATTTACATCATGCTCTTCACCATTACTACGCGTTGGCAAGCAGTTTGCAAGTGTTTGTATCTTGTAACTCGAAGTATAATTATGTATGCAAACCTCTTAAAATTGAAAATTGTTATTGAACTTAGGTTTAATATCTGAGAGACTCAATAAAAATATTCAGTTTATTAAATTAACTGAATGATTTTTAGATGCTTTCCAAAATCTGCACCTGTTGTGGAAGCGAGACTAAGCCTGCCTCCTTTGTGGATAGAAAGTCATAAATAAGGTCATGCATTTTTATCTTTATTTATGGTTATGTATTTTTATATTTACTTAAAGTTACCGATTTTTATGCTTCACATAATTATTTGAAGCATAAAAAACAGACATGGATTTTTTCCTAATCTTTGAGTTTAAGAAATGTTTAGCTATACAAACAGCTCATCCTCTGCTACATTTTTAGTCTGTGGCTTTACTTGAGTAGCTTCACATGATTTAGTTTGGCTCTTCATACAACTGCTGTCTGAAACACTCCAATTTAGTTCCCTTTTTTTTTAAATCCCTGCACTAAAAGCTCACTTTCATCTCATTGACCAGCATCTGGAAGCTTGCCGAGGGGCAGCATCCAGCACTTGTAAATTGTTAAACTACTTTCTGGATGTGCAGATAAAACATCAGCTATAGACTCAGAAAGACTCACATTTATGCATTTGTATCAAAGTATTTAAAATTTTGACCATTAAAATTTTGACCATCCATCATTTTAATATTTAATATACTGAATTCCAGAAAAAAAATGTGTATATTATGCAAGCAAAATATGTCCTTCACTCAGCAGACTCTTTAATGATGACAGATGCTGGCCTAACCTTGACTTTCCTTCAAGCTCAACTTAACACCAGCAACAAGAAACCTTAAAACATCAAATCTACGTGTCCACAGTGTCATTATAATTGTTTTCCAAGAATAAAAGGACTAGACTTGAAGCAGGGTGTATTAGTATGCAGTGTTGTGATTCTTGCTTTAAATGGAGGGGATCAGTGAAGCGATTTTAGAATAAGACCCTGGTCTGTTTGTGGTTCTGTTGCTCTGATTGCTTTAAAGAGAGGCAATTACTCACCTGGCAACACCAGCACACAAAACTGATTCTACTATTTGTCTGAGCGAGTCTGTGAATGTGTGTTCCTGCATCCAGGCTCATTTTCCCAAACATTTCACCAGCGGGATAGAGTTTCTCACAAAGACTCCCACCTCTCTTGTCTCAGCTCCAGTTTTGTTTTCTTGTTTTTTTTTAAAAGAGGTTTGTCCACAAACTCGATGATTAACTTGTCAAGACTGAAGCACGCACTGAGTAGCTTCAGCTTTGCTTTACTCGTATTTGTTTGAAGGTGTGTCTTTCTAACATAGATGTGCGTTTGTATTACTTTAATATTCGTTTAGTGATGAATTTGTCACATTGTTGTAGGGAGGGTGTCCATCTGTAGGTCACTGAAATCTCTTAAATCACTGTAAGTGTTTACAGGAGGAGCAGAAGACACAAATGCAGTAAACCCCTAAATCCAAAGCGCTCACAAGGAAACACTTCCTACAAGAGGCTGGCAAAGGGCAAAAATCCAAAAACAGGGAAAGGTCATACATGAGGAAAAAATTAAACAAAAAGAAGAAAGCGTCTGGAAAGTAAGGAGACAATGTACCAAGTGAGAAGTGGAAAGCTAGTAGTGTATGTAGTTGATTGGCTAACTGAACACAGGCGATGCTCTCTGTGGAACCCGAGATAAACTTTTCTCAACAGTAAGGTGAGCGTTTTAAGCGATGGCCAATGACAGTGCAGGATACCACTGATCGAGACCCAATCTGTCATTAAATACATTAGAGCTTTAAAGCTGTATTTTTTCTGCTGACCACTAGGGGCAGTTGCAGAAAGAAGTGATTGTACAGAAGTCTGTGGAGGAGCAGGCCTTCAGCTTCTTTGCTTTGGCGCCTCAGTAAACACTTTCTTAGGGAGTTTACGGTCTCAGTCACTAATTTGTAGTGTTGTTGAATCTAACATGGGGTTTACTTTGGAAATGATGGTCACTATTAGGGTCAAAAGGCACAATAAAGCATAATCATTATAGCTCCTGACTGCTGCGAGGAGGTGCAAAAGGGTGGATGCTGTGTTTGCAGTGGCTTGTGGAGGTAGGACCTCATCAGCCCTCACAGAAGTTTATTTCTACACATTTGAAATTAGAAGAAATGTTACTGTCATAACACCTTCTATATAAAAACATGATGAAAATTGTCAGGAAAAAATCCCTTACCCCCAAAACGCCCCCAAAAAATAGAAATCCAAAGGTTGTAAGAAACTGAGGATTTTTCTCATAATTGTCATGTCCTATTCAATGAGACTTTAATGCAGTGATTTAAACCATAAACTCTTCAAATAAATGACAGTCTGGAGTACTCTAATTTATCCACAGACCTCTGTACACGTTTTGTAACCTAAAGAGTCTCCCCCTGTAAAAGCAGGTAAATTCAGAAAATCCAGTCATATTTTATATATTTATGGCAGAATAAATGAGCCTTAAGTAGCAATGAACTACCAAAGGTAAACTCACTGAAAAAAGCTGTCACCCAGTGTGCTGCTTAACACTGATATGATGTGTTTTTATTTATTTTTCATAAATAAACATAACCATGAGAAGGGAAGCCTGACTGTTTGCCAAGGGAGGGGCTGTTTGAGCTTATCTGAGCTGCACACACGCACGCACCAGAGACAGCGCTTTTCCTTTCACCTGAGTAAACACGCATGCGCAGCGTTCGGGATCCCTACCTCCCTTTTCCTCTCTCCCTGCTTCTGTCAGTCCAGAACTTGGCTGCAAGCAGCACCCTTCATGTGGATGCGACCGGGATCAGTTGACATCGCTTTGCTGTATATTTGGACATTTTTTAAACGGGACTTTTGTATAGGAGCCGCAGCGCCGCTGAGTACGCGCAGTAGGGTGAGTTATATTAACAGAAAACTAACCGCTGGTTTATAACTAACTAAATTGATTTTAGTTTGCCAGAAATGTAACTTCAGAGCTGAATATAAGTTATCTGACAGACTAACGAGCTGTTTAATAGGGGGGCACTTTGCGCTAACCAGACTACATGCAAATTTCTGTAAATTCTTGGATCAACACAAACAGCCAGCGGCGTAATATTCCTATAATGATTAATTAAGTGGTGTTCAAACTTGACAGTGTTCCGGCATGGTTCATGTGATACTCACACTGACATTAATGTTTTAATCTGATATATTCACACCTTCACACCAATCATTTGGAGCAGGTGTAAAACTGTGTGAATAGCAGCTTTCCATTAAAATACATGTTACCTCACAGGGAAGTCAAAGTCCTGCACAGTTACGGTGTCCTGTGCCTTCACAGAGACGCCGTAACTGTGCTGCACACACATTGTTCAGTCAGCTAATGAAATGTGGAAAAATGCAGACCTGTTATTGAAACGGAGCTTTCCCCCCTCAGGCTGTTCATCCTGTGTTTTAAATGCAGGGTTCATTAAATGTAATCCTCCCACCTTAGCATTAAACTGGGCTGCTTGTGACCTTAAATTAAAACGACCCCCGGTTTCGAGGTATACCGGTGGCTGGTGAGATTCTTTGGACTGAGCTTTTATTGGGGTTTCCCGGTATTCTGCTGTGCAGTGAGATTTCTGGAATATTCATTATGTTTGTGCTTTTAGTATCCTTGATAAGTTGATTGTTGGTCTACTGCCTTTGCTGTGGTTTTGGTGCAGTATTTAGAGTGTTTTCTGCAGTGTACTTGTGGTGCTTATGTCCCATAATATTTCTATAATGGTAATTTAGTGACAGTGAGGTTAAAGTGCTGCTGTTTCTTAGGATAAATATGCTCGGATACAAGAATACTTTAGCCCCACTTCAGTACTTCTAGTAGATCCAAAACAGTCATTGTTGCAGTCATAGCTGCTGTGACAGATTGGTGCTTTTCCATGAGTGCTGTCACACTTTAATACAGTGAAATGCAGTCTGCTGTGGCTCTGGCTGCTTTCATTAATCATTAAACTGTTTTTTGTGTGATTAATTGTCTAGAACATGCCTTCAGATCCTTTTTTGTCCTTCATTCGATGGTTTTCTCTGAGGAAATAGACAAACTCAGCAGCGCATGTTTTAAATATATATCAGAAATGTTCATTTTTATAGCTGCTTCTAAATCATTGCCTATCACATCAATACATCTACCAAGCACTGGTATATAAAGAAAACCTCTTCAATTTATATATTAATACAAAAAATGAAACAGAAAAATCAGTTTTTAAGTCTTTGGTTGATATCTTTATTTTTTTAAACAACTATGTTACTTTTAGTTTATCCACTTTTTATAAGATTTCAGTAAACCAGACTACATTCAGAAATCTGTGAATTTAATCTTTTGTTATATAACAACTTGTGCCACCTGATTTTTGACCTTGCTTTACACTAAACGGAGTCTTCTAATAATATTCAAAATAGAAGGTTTATTTTTATTTTGTAAGATTGTCTGTTTTTCTTTTGGTATTTATTGTGGTCTGAATTAAATGGTACCACTTCTAATAAACGAGCTTCGTCTTTTTAGGAGATATGTTTCAGTATGCTTCCGTTTAATTTGCTGCTTAGCGGTGCACACAGAATACAGCTTTGATTTATTTTGGATTCAGCACAGTCTCATGGTCAGATCTGCACCCTTGAAACCACCAAGCAGTTTTAAAATGTGTCAGAAAGTTTCTTTGAATTTCTAAGAACCTGTCCAACCTCTGTGTGATTACTGTACACACATCATTAATGTGAAGGTGCAGAGCTGTGAAAAAGGATTTGTTAGCTTCTCATTTCTTGGCTTTTAATATTAAACAAAAATGAGTAGTAAATACAAATGACGATTTCCTTTATTGGGGGAAAAATGATCCAAACCTACCTGATGGTAGGTGATGATCTAAAATATTTAAGTAAAAAAATATGCACAAACATAACAAATCAATAGATTTAATTCACAGCACTGTGCATTACATCCTGTCTTGTCCTTTTATCTGGATAATTTGTGTGCAGCAGACAAACAGCTGGTTCTCTGACCGAGCCTCCCCGCAGACTGTGGCCAGGCCTCGTTGCTCTCTCTGCGGGTTATGCGTTCCACCTGACCCCCTGACCTGCCAGGAGCTCCGGTGACGACACCACCGGGTGACATTTAACAAATGGGTTTCTGTTTGTCACCGTATGTCCTCGTCGCCGGGGTAACCCCAGAGACGAGGGATGCTCAGCCAGCTCTTTGCTTTGCTTGACCCTCCCCGACTGTAAAACACAGCGGTAAAGCTCTTCCTCAGATAAAGAAAGCAACCATCAGCCCATCAGCAGAGCCGTGAAAGAGATTCTCTTTTGTTAAAGCGTTTTTTTCTATTGCTTTGTTTTTGTTTTTGGCACAACGGAGCTCAAACCCACATCCAGAAGTGGAGCGTTTTTCATGCTAATGCTCTTTAAAAGCAGCTCAGATTCCTTTCCGAGACTGATCAGTGTGGGGGGTCCTTCTTCACCACCCCTCACAGCCATACAGACAAACACATGTGTTTACTGTTGTTTCCCGGCTCAATGAGACAGAGGCCTTCTGCTCATCAGCAGGTTTTACTGGGGTTTCCACGGTGACTAAGAGCGAGTCTTTGTGGCAGGTCTGCTGCGCGCTCTGAAATCATTTGTCCTGTTTTATAGTAACTCATCACTTCCCCTGTTGTAATGCCATTAGCTTGTTAATTGGATGTTGGACAAGTAAGGGGGATCATTTCTAAAACTGTGTTGGTGGTTTCTGTGTTACATGTACTGGTAATTCTTTTGCAGATTCTTGAATGGTTTGCATATTTATGGATGCTTTTTCAGTTAAACTTTTGGTTATTTATTGGATGCTAGCAGCGATGTGTTTGTGATGTTTGAGGACTTTATTTCTAAAGAGAGAGTAGCACTGTGTTTGCAGGGCGACGATGGCGGGAACGCAACATATAAGGAAACCAAGGGAATTTATATTTATAATTTGTTATCATATAAGTGTATATATACATGCATCATTATAGATTTATGGTTAGTGTCCAAGTATTTAAAAGTGGTTTCAGTGAAAAATGATGGCTCATTTTTACGAGTACATTCTTGGACAGTTTGTTCTTCTACTTCTGAAACACTTCCTCAACACTTTTGGACTCGGTGGTTTCAGGAGGGCTTCAAATTCTCTTCTTCCACCCTGAACCTCATATATTTAGTGTGACAGCGCAGTCCGCCAACCTGCTGCTGTAATCCTCAAACTGAGGCGTTAGATCTGTCAGTGCTGGAGAAAGTGTGGGAGCTAATCTGTCAGACTGCTGAGCAACAACCAGCCATCCTGTAAACCTACAGAAATCACAGGAGGGAGGACAAATACGTATGTATTTAAAGCCTGCTGTGACTCACATGTTGCAGTCTGGAGCAGTTTCCCCTCCATTTTCTGTTTAATTTAGCCCTCAGAGCTGTGGCAACAGCTTCACAATGATGCTGTCAGCTTGCTCATCACACTGTACCAACAGCCTGTAATTATCTCAATATGTTTTTCTTTTTTTATCTCTGCGATTGTCATTACATCGGCTGTTTCAGTCCACAGGCACGCAGAGCCGAGAGGAATTTGGCTTTCTTTAATAATCAGAAACAACTCTGTGCCTACAAATTAAACCTATTTATATTGCGTTTTTTAGCAAGTGAATTTGTTCAATTTGCACATTAAAGGTGTGTTTAAAAAATAATAATTGCAGAGGCATCCATAAAAGTTTCTCTGAGGAAGAATTTAGTTAATCAGTATAAATCTGAAATGGCGAACAGCAGCTGGAGTACAAAGACAAATAAAGACAGCCTATTATATAGGCTAACTTTTTATAGATGTCATAATTAGAAAGGCTATAATTGTGAAAGCTGCTTTTTAATTATTTGTCAGTAAAATCAGGAGTTTTGTAGGTAAACAAAACTGTAACATTATGCATTTAAATCACCTGAAAATGACGCAACAGCAGAGATGATCAAACATCTAGTGATTTAAAAAAAAATGTTAACATCAATTACTAATAAAATAAAGAAATAAACACATACATAAGCTGTCAGTTTGTGCACAAATAACAAATAATGCAACAATCTAATTAAAAATATCAATAAAATCAAGTTAAATCAAACGATCTCGCTGGATTCAGAAGTAGCACCAAGCAAACGTGGTTAGCATAACATAAACAGGCTTGTGTACAGTAAATTGCATTATTGAACAATTGCACGAATGTGAAAATGTGGGGAAAAGTCATCCGTGATGGTGCTATGATCCACTCTTCGAGCAAAACATGGAGTGAAACCAGAAGAGATGGCCTGTATAAATGCATCACCTGCAGAAACTCAGGCAGACGTGCAGATTTTCATGTGCAGACATTCGGCTTTATTGGAAACTCTCTGAGCTCAGCCTCGGTGTCAAACCACCGGGGGATTAGAGCGCCTTATTTGTCGCGGTTCCTTCAGCAAACCAGCACTTATTTTGTCCATTCTCACAAACACTTCACATTAAGATGTCAGTGAGATATTTTTTTCCACAGAATAGCTGAAAAAACAAAAATCTTTTGCGTTTTGGAACAAAATAACCCTCAACATGACAACGCTGATGGCACTGAACTGAAAGAAAGTCTTGGCCCTGATATTAAAGTCTCGCCTGCCTTTTTTCTGAGATCTGTGTCAGACTGGAACTACATCCCTGCACATTTACTGGCCTTAAACTCTTATCCAGTTTGACAGAGTTGGAAATGCTCTGTCCTTCATCAGTCGCGCACATTCGCCATGTTTAAGGTTATTAATTTGTTTGTTTGTGTCCATCGATCCAGATCGACTTCCTCCCCCTATAATCACACAGGACACTTAGTTGGTTTGCTTCTCTGCTGTTTATTAGAACAACTAGAGGATGTTTTCACTACT